CCGCATTGTTTCCCATTGTATTGCGCGAATTCGAGCGAGCGCTTCTCGCGAGCCTCTCGTCTCTCAAGTTGCCGCAAATTCGACCGCCGAGGGCCACTAAAAACGTAGCAGTCTCGGGTGCACGAAGAGGTGCCGGACGAAATGCAAAATGCCAGGGGAGAAAGAGATAAATAGCGAGGGAGAAAGAGTGAGGGGAACTGAGGAAGAGAGAGGGAGGGGACAGGCAAAGGGGAAGAGAGGCCGGCAGAGCCGGTAATCCTCGTGGCCGCGCGCATGCTCCCCGTTCTACATCGTCGAGGAATTCCGGCGCGCAGTTAAAAAATTTGTACGCAGTCGCGGTCGACTGACATAAAACCGCACCGGCTGAAATTTCAATACGGTCAAACGGAGCACCTAATTCGGACATCAAATGCGGCTCGCCGCGTTTCTCCATTTCTCGCATTTATGTGGATTTTATTCCGGGGCTAGTTTGCCCGTTTTATCAGCGCCCGGGCTGCTCCTCTCACCGCGCGCACCTGTGAACGGCGAACGACGCCGCCGATGTTGTACATATACATATACCGGGCTTGTAATTCAATTCTACCGTCCGTCGGCCCTCCGGCCTGTTATGATTTGGTAGATACTGTTTCCGCGAGTTGTCATAACAACTGCCGTTTACGCAGCCGGCAAAGCAAAAATCGCTTCGATGCGCGTTCGTCGCGCGCATATTCCGAAGGATCTCACCGATCGTTCGACGGAACGGATTACAGCGTAATCTCGCGTGATATCTCGCGAGGACGACGTCTCGGCTGATACTGAAGCGCCGATGTTAATTTAAACCGCGACTTTACACGGTGATACGATGTATCTCTCCTCTCCCATGCCAATCAGATCCACATGTACACATATACACGCGCGCACATACGTACACACGCTTTGTACACGCCGCGAGTAATTGTGACACGGAGGAATTAATCGATCCCTAGTCATTTCCTCGAGTGACTCACCCGCAAAGAGAAGGTAGATCCGCGTGGAAAACTAATCAAAGCCGAGGAGAACGCCGCGAAGTAACTCCCGCCGAGGTATTCAAAAATTAACGGTCGTGCGACTGAATGAGAGAGAGCGAGCGAGAGAGAGAGAGAGAGAGAGTGGGTGAGAGAAAGGAAGCAAGCGAGCGAGCGAGAGAAAGAGAGAGGGGGAGAGAACCGGACGGTATTTTCTCTCCCGAACGTCGGGTTCCCGCGAGAGATTTCGAGGACTCGATAGACAGTAGCCGCTCGCGTGCCCCGTCATTTTCCGTTAGGCGAGATTCGTCACGAGGTCCTTCGAGCGTCCTCGCGGGGCATCCGTGACGTCGTGTGACGATCGCTAGTTTCGATTACGCGGCGATTGTTTGCGCGTGTGTGCCTAACAGACGATTGCATGCCTCGACAGAGTAACGTCAGCTCCCAGAGAGCGGATACCGGCGGCAGGGTGACGCAAGCTGGCGCTTCCGGGCTGGTGCGCGTGTCCGCCGGCGAGCTGCTCGGCAGGACCCACGAGGAATTGGTGCTGCTGCTGATCCAACTGCGACGGCAGAACGCGACGGTCCTCAAGGCGATGGAGACGTGCCACATGGAGATCGAGGCGCAGGTCCGAAGAGAGAGAGAGAGAGAGAGAAAGAGAGAGAAAGAGCTCGTAGGCGCGATTTCGCGGAATTTTCGCAGTAATTAAACGGAAGTCCACCGACAACGGGGACCGACTGGACTAGGATGAGGACGCTTTCCGAATTCGAGGAGCGCTGCTTTTGAGAGATTGCCGGTCGTCGCTTTGTTAGAGAATGAGAGAGAGGGAGAGAAAGGGAGAGAGAGATTGAGTGAGGGCGAGATGTTTCGCTTTGACAGATGACCGTGCGGTTTGACGAGATCTTTCAGGATGTGGTAGAATGGTAGATCACTGTGTGTAGATGCATCCAGATTGCGAGTCCACGTGACGATGACGCAAATGTGCTGCCTCGTAATTGTAGTCGTCGTAGTCGTCATTGTAGTAGTAGCAGTCGTCGTCGACACCATGTAACACGCTCGCGCGCAAGCCACGAGGCACACAGGGTTAAACCGGATGACTTCGTGTTCAAAGCGCAGTGTAATCGAGTAGATATCCGTCCGGTACGCGATACGTTTGCGCACTCGCGTCCCGCATTTGGAGGGATGAAACGTGCCCGCTCGACTTCGAGGGGGAATTTCGATTAATACGATAAACTCCGCGACGTCGTCCGATTGACAGATAGGTTCGGTAGTGGCCGGCGTCGAATACGGGACGCGAATGAGCTCCCCGAGCGCAGCAGCCACGGCGAGATTCGCAGAGAAAGTCGAGTAGTCGGGCTCGTAGAATTTCCACGCGGATATGCGCCCGTTTACATCGTCGTTACCGTACCCGGTCTGCACTGAATACCACGGACTGTCAATGTATTCCCCGCGCGTTAATCGGCGCGCGAAGGACGATGGAGGAGGCTCCTTAACAGCGGGTACACGGCGATAAACGTATCGTGTGTTTTGTGTGCGTCCGCAGGCTAGACTGGCGGAGCTCGAAACGCCGCGACGGTTGGAGAACCTTCAGAAGCTCGAGGAACTCAAGAGACACCTCATGGATCTCGAGAAGCAGGTGAGGAGGCGCGCGCGAAACGATGAAGAGAAAGACGAATGGAAAAGTACTCACTTAAGTCGATACATCTCGTGTCGTAACCTTTTCGAATTTAATATTACGTCAGTGTGTTAAAATATCTTGATTTATGGCTAAACATTGCAAGAGAATTCTAATATACTGACGTTATCACTCTAATAATACTTGGAATATCGCACTGCAATAATCGTAACTCTTACTGACTCCTTTCATTCCAGGATTAGATTCTAGATTTTTTAGACTCATGATACAATTTTTGTGTTGGCCGGTAATATGTGCAAGAAAAGAAATATACGTGAACCGTTTGCTTTCTTTACGAGCAGTACGAGAAGAGCAAGCCTCTGGTGAACCTCGTGGACAACATGGTGAAGTTGGGCTCCCTGTACAACCGTAACACTGCCAACGGGACCACCAGCAACGTTTCCGGTTCTCGTCACGACCTGATGCACGAAAATGCGAGGGATCATCGCGACCGTCTGGAGTTCAACCAGAGGGTGCAGGAGCAACGGCTGCTGGCGGAGGAGCGCAGGGACTGGGACCGACTGAGCCCGGATCACGGACAGTTACAGGTGAGCGATCGGATTCGTCTACACGCGGGACTCCTCGTGAATTTCCAGCCGAGCTTCGCGAAACACGTTTAGTATTCACGACCGAGCGTGCTCTCGTTCGATCGGATTTCTCCCATTTCGCCTCCTCCTCCTCGCGTTTTCCCCTCCCTTTTCATCCCGCGGCCGTTCTCTCGCGAGCCATACTCTCCCCGTGCCGGAGAGAGTGCAAGATGTATTATGTCCGACGTAAGCGACGCGGAATTCCCTCTGACCGAAGGCAATTCCCGCCCGGCCGTGACGCCGAGCGCCGTCATCCTGCAGGTACGTAGGCAGTAAAAAGCCGATTGGGTGGAAAAAGCGCACGTGCAAGAATTAAGAACGACCCTCGCAGGCGCCGGGCAACCGCTGAACTCGGACGACACTTATGACCCCTCGTAAATTCCGCGAAGAGCTCACTTTATCGGGGGATATATACTCTCTCTCTTTCTCTCTCTGTCTCTCTTTCTCTCGAGCTGAGTCTCTACGGACAGTGTCCACTTAATATCTCGTGTCTCGTCTCCTTCTTATTAGCCAAGCCCCTCGGAAAATTTTCGTCATCCGCGCGAGCACTCTCATCGGAGAAGCGACGCGAAATTTAATATTTAATTAACAAGCGAGAGGGGGGGGAGGAGCTCCTTTTCGTTATTAAGCATACGACACATCTTCGTGTAACCGGATATAACCAAGTGAAACGATAGCTTTGTTCTGTATTGATTTTTGCATTAGTTCGATAATGAAGAGGAAATTGTTAAAGTTCCTCGAAATGTAATACTGATCAAGTGTCGCTTGCCATCGAGTCACCGGGACAGAAAAGTGAAATAGTGACTGCTTCTTGGCAGAAAAGATGACGAAACGTGACTTCTCAGACATCAAAGTAATGACCAAAAGTGACTTTTTTTTTATCAAATTCTGAGAGTAAGACCATTTAAATGCACTTACTTGACTTTGATTTGTAATTTCAAAAAGAGATTAAAAGTCAATCTATTTGTCTCCGCCGACCCGATTATCGAAATATACCAAATTATTGAAAGTTACGTTACTTTAATGGTTGCGCGATGATGAGGGAATTTCACTCGAAAGCCGGGACAGAGACAAACGCCGAGAGAGGGTTGTTCGCGTTGTTCTAGAATTAACTATGGCCGCTTCTCTCTCTCTCTCTCTCTCTCTCTCTCTCTCTCTCTCTCTTTCTCTTTTCCCGAGATCCGTTACAATTGAAACCCTGCTTGGCCGAACAGCGTAACTTCAAGGTTTCAAAGTTCACTCGGTAGCCTTTCTATGTCGTAGGCCAAAGTGCAGCAGCTTTACAAACTGGATCGATTGCTCCAGGAAGAATCCGGCACGCTGCACAGTCTCCAACAAGACAAGGTTGGTATCGACGCCCATGTCACAACAATGACAACGACGATATTCTAGAGAGCGAGATCCTTAACAATCGAAAAATTCGCCAAGAATGCCGAGTATTCCCTCCGAAGGTGGACGTCGCTCGACGAGAATGTCACGCTCGATTGATGAATATAGAGGAAAGAAAAAAGAAACTCTTCCGAGTTTCTCCCGGAAGAAAGTTACGCGATATATATTCGCGAAGACAATTCTACCGGAACGACGACGATATTTTCCTCCAACTCGACGCGGCGAACATCCGAAAAGTCCAGATCGCGATCTCGTCCGCGCGAGAAAATGTCCCTGAAAATGATGTCCATCTGTTTCGTCCGGGAAACTCGCGGGGAACCGACGTCGTCGTTGCTCGACCGCGGATAAAACGTTATAAAACGTCGCACATTCTTTCGGGTGTATTCTGACGCGACATTGCTCGTCCTAATTCGAGGATATAGAAAATCGCTCCATCATATCACACGCATGACCGACTTAATGCTCGCAGGAAATACTGGAGAAGGCTCTCGGCGGGTTGCGGCATAAACTGCAAGGCAGCAGAAGCAATTTGGCCGAGGCCGAGCGATATCGGAAGCAGCAGCTCTTGCTAGAGCGCGAACTGAGCAGGGTGCGGGTGCTGCTCGCTCACAACTCGAAGGTAGACATTTCGAAGCGTACCTGACAGCCGCTAATACGCGTTTCTGTCCAATGCCGCGCGCTCGCGCAGTTCCATTAAAAACGATGGAGACTGATTGGCAGAAAAACAAGTCAATTGCGCGTCAGCCGGAATTTCGCAAAATGCGAATAATCGCTGCTCTCGTCATCTTCGTTCGTTCGTTTTTCATTTTTCTTTTTTTTTCACAGTCGCCAGAGTGTCGGACGCGCGTCATTACTTTTCAACCACGTTTCAATAGACGACAGATTCCTCTCGATTAGAAAGCGGACCGATCGTTTCTCGGTGAAAACTGAACGAAGCGACGACTGAAGGATTCCTTCCTTCTTTTCCTTGTGTTGATCTCTTTTTTTTTGTGCTTCTACTCAGTTTCCCTCGCGTTTGTTTTCGATCTCTCGCAATCGTGAATTTTACGCGTGGACGAAGCGTACAGAGAAAGAGAGCGTGCGAGAGAATTTAGAATCGCCACGTACGCGAGAATAGATCCTATAACGTACAGTGATTACATATATAAAGTTTGGATTCACTGTTTCCAGGTAAAGCCGGTATTCTTCCAGGTAAATTACACTATTCACACCACACTATAGCTTTCAGTTCCGTCATTCGCCGTTTAGTTGCTCGTTGTCGGCGATCGCCTTATCGGTCGAATTCGCGCGTTCATCCTAGTGACCCAGCGACTTTTCAACGTGCTTACAGAAACTCGAGGAGACGGTGGCCGAGAACGCGAGGTTGGAGCAGGATTTGGTGGTGCTCAGGCAAAAGCTGCAGGCATCCCGAAGATACGCCGGTAATATCGCGCGAGACACCTCGAGTACTACAGCGCCGTTGGAAGCGGAACTGAGACGAGTACAACAACTCGTAGGTGATCTGCAGAGACAGCGGAAGGAGCTGAGCATTCAAGTTCGCCAATTGACGGAGAAGTCTCACAGTTTGGTGCAGCAAATACGTCCGCAACCGGCGCACGGTGAGTCCTCGCGCGAAGCTACGTAACGTAGGAAACAGTTGGAAACTATCACAGAACTACGGAGCACAGTTCTGCCCGAGGTTCTGATCGATAAATTCGATTCTTCTTGAAGATTTCACGAAGCCTTCCATATTTGCGCCAATAATTGGAGCGACGAGTCCGGGGAAAGCAGTACTTTGTACAAATTATTCACCGGTCTAAGCGGATCGCTGAACGTTTTTCGTGCAAAACTGAGAATTTTTTCCGGAAACGCTCTCATAATAATAAATTTGGTTTAATTCAAATCATATTTTCTTGACCTGATATCATAAACAGCTTATTCGGGCTCTGTATTTCCAATTTCCACATTTACAAGTTTAAAAATATTTAATTAGAATAGCAGAAGCGACAAGACGGCAAGCTTCGAATAGCCTCGCGAACTGGCGAATTAAAGATTCGAAAATAAGTGCGGCTAACTAGGGTTAATATGAGAAGATGCCAGAGTTGGAAAAGTTACTTTTTAAAAGCAATTCGTCACTTATAGCTAGCCGTTGATAAAAGTAATTTAATTTTGCCATTACTCAAGAAGTAACGAGTCATTATAATTTCCGTTACTTCCCTCGCCAACTTTAAAGACTTTCTTTACGGTTCACCGCCGCCTATCCTATGTACAATTATATTTATCATCGTTATCGGAAAATATGTTACCCCAAGGTATATAATTGCGTTAATGTTCTTAACTTTGAAACACGACGAATGCAGTCGGAGAAATATCCTTATAGTCGATATGTTGTGTATAAAGGGAGCAAAACAACAATCCCAAGTAAGATATAACTGCTGACGATTTACTAATTCATTATCGATATTTAATGAACAGACGCCAATATCGAAACGGTTGAAATATTGGGATAATAATAATGGGCCATGACTCGAAAGACAACTGTAACTGTACCGCTTAGCAGTATATCAGAAGTATCAAGAAATTCATCAATTCCCAACACTGGAACAGTTTTGACTTCCGATTAACGATTCAATTATTGTACCATTGTTAATACTACAACCATACTGTGGGAGGAAGTGTCAGAACTAGCGTTGTAAGTTTCGAGTACCCGGAGTCAATGACTAATAAGTGTACAGCTAATTTCAGATATTTATTGATTTTTCTAGCGATAAAAGATAATAATTACGTCTGAAGTTAGTCGTATATTCAGTTATTGAAAAACTCAGATACTCGGATAATCAAAATTGACAGCATTAATCAGAACTATAACTGGAGATGTTTTTGCACCTGCAGATGTCCATTTTAATGTCATATGAGATGAAAAACAGAGTGAGACAGATTTGGCTGGGATCGAAATCGGATCTTGCGCTTGCCAGGCGATCTTACCACCGAACTATTTAAGCTCCACGTTAATGCCATTTCATTTTCTTTCTTATTTAAGGCCTATTTTTTATTTAAGTCACCGATATCGTAACGTGAAATCTATATGTCAATGACTGAAATGGTACCTCGCCAGTCTCGAGGTCGACTGGCAAAATACTGGCCGAATGTATACTATCCCTACAAAGATGTGATCAACGAAATGTTACTCCTCAGCTCCGCAAGTGCATCATCCGAAGAAACGCACGCAGAACTCCTGGCTGGAGACCGACCTGGATTCCGGAATAACCCTGGACCATGGCCTGGACTCGTCATCGAGCCCGCCTTTGTCCGCCTCACCCCCTAGCAAGCATGACAGTCCTCATCAGCGCTACGGCTCCCCTACGCAATACAAGGACGCATCGCCGTTGAATCGCCAGCCGAATCAGCCAGCCTACGTGCAGCCCCCGCAGAATCACATATCGGCACTGTCACCGAAACTGCGCGAGCAGATCCAGCAACACCAACTGAAGCAACAATTGCTGAAGGACCAGATGCAGGGCAAGGGCAGCACGATTCAAGTGGCACCTCTCTACGTTAACACGGACTCCAGGGTGGCAGGTGAGATGTTTCTTGGAGAATTTGTTGTCGCGTATATAGAGAAAATTCTTCTCAAAGACATAAACATTCGTGTGTCGAAAAAGTACCACGGTATTCTTGCTTAGCTAAGATATACTTTATAACTTGTGTTACTGGGACATGGGACGTTAAAGATGAATGCGACGTTAGTAGAGCATCGCAGCGCGTCAACGCAATCAACGTCGCCGCGTAATGATCATTCACTTTTGATTCCAGGCGACTACATTGCCGACACGAGCAAGCACAACGGAAGCGTGCTGAACGGAGCGCCGAATCCAGCACCGGAATATATTCCGCCACCGCCGCCGCCTCCCTTGAGCGAGGAAGCATTGTTGTTGAACGACAATTACAGGCAAAACGAGGACAACAAATTCGCCGGTGAGTCGTCTTACTTACTTTAAAACGGATAAGCGTGAAACTTCGACGCCAGTTGGAAATTTCATTCCCTCTCTCTTTCTTTCCCCTCCTCCATGTTCTCTTCGTTCTCTGAAAGGATTAATGCACAATCGCGAGAAGCAAGAGATCAAGACGGTGCGTATTGTGAAACGCGAGTCGGAGAGACGACAGAGGGACCGCGGCGACAGGATCGGCAACCTCGGGATCCCCTTGACAAACGGTCTTCAGGCGCCGGGTGGCGCGAAGAGACTATGCGACGATGACTTGGGAGGCTCCCAAAAGTTCGAGGTGAGTCGAGGTGCAACGGTAACTAATTAGCACAGTTCCTGCTTGTAATTTAAATCGCTTCATTTGAACGTACGAAGTACAGTTGGCACCCCAAAATTCTCACAGAAAATATCAATGAATGACCGTAAAATTAACGTGAGCAAAATCATGGAAAAAGAACGAACTAAAAAGACAGGTTGCAAGTCACATCAACTTGATGGTTACTCATCGATTGTCAGAGCGAGAGGAAGATTTTCGAAATATTTTACAAATGCGCTCAATCGATCACAAGTGTGCCATTTTACATCCTTCGATGTGTATCCAGAAAGCTCAACTGGGCAGAGTAGTGGAGGAGTCGCCGATCGTCCACGCTCAGAGCACAGTTCAGCTGTCCGAGCTGGACGACGTACAGTTCCAAAGAAGCATGTCCCTACCGCGTGGCTTCGGCGGGCAGAAGCAGCACTCCGGAGTGCACTACGGGCCGGTGGTGCCGCCGCCTCGCAGCGACAGCATGCACGCCCTGAGGAGTATGATGGCACGACGGCACAAAATCAGGGTAAGTCGTAGGTAGTAACTGGTGTAAATGGCGACTTCCAAGAAAGCAACACGACCGTCTTAGGGTTTACCCTCTTCCCCGTAGAGCTAAAGCTCACCGTCGCGTAGTCGCCGATGTTTCTGCACTTTCCGCTCCACAACTTCGTGACTCTTCGTGAAACCACGGGTGTCATCAGCGACCTCACTCCGCCCTGACCGTCTCGCCCCTGTTTTTCTTTCTCGATCCCGCCTGGTCCCCGCATTACATTTTCTTTTTGTCTTCTTTTTTTTTTTATTTCGACGCTCGTCGCAGTTCGAAAGTCACGACGGCAGCTCCGATAGCACTTTGTCACCGTACACGGACAGTACGACGTCGAGCTCTCACGTGCCGATGAGCTCGCCCAACTACTCCACCACGTCGTCGTACAGCCCGAGTCAGAATCCGAGCTACCTGCCGCAAACGGTCGCAGTCCAGCCACACCATTATTACAACCCGGTCGGACCGTACCGGCATTACGACGGTGCGGCCTCGTCGATCAGGGCAGCCGGTACTCTCGCGATGAGCCCCGAGCTAACGTCGCCGGCCAACGTCGGCACGCATGAGAGACCGGCGACGACGACGACGACGGCCGCCGCCTTAAGCGTGCCGGGCACGAAGATGTCGTCTGAGTCGCCGCAGCTGTCGCCGGTGTACAAGAGCGAAGCTGCCAAGCAAATAATCAAAGAGATGACGGAGAAGAGGGTGGAGGGGCCACGACGAAGACAGATCCCGCGGGAGAAGAGGCGGCACTACACTGTGTCTAGTAGCAAACCGGTGCTCGACTTAGAGGACACTTTCTCGAAGATGGTACTTTTTTTTCGTTTCACTTAATTTCCATTTCCGTTGTCAATTCCTCTCGCCTCGCTCGTTCTTCTTCTCGCGCGTATCACCCTGTATCTCGCTCTATCACCTGCCGCTAGACTCACGGAATATCACGTATGCGCGTATACGTCTCGTTTCTTCGTCTCTCTCACTACTGTGTTGTGCTACGCTCGCACCGACGTGGCAGCTTTTTGACAACTCTGGAAAAGTGAATCCGCAAGCGAGAGATTGACTCGGGCGATCTTTTCAGGGCATGGGCAGAGCCAGGGACGATCTGGACATGGAGAGAGCGCTGAGGCCGCGAATAAACGCTCCCGACGTCGTGCGGTCAACGTTGAGCCATAAGGAGCTCAAGTACAACGAGAGCACCATAGACCAGCTGTTGGGCACGCCCAACAAAATTGTCATCCCCGAGCGATACATCCCCGAACAGGTATTTCCGACGTTACCGGACGATCCTTTTAAATTTTACGCGCAAAAAGCACGCGATACGACAGAAATTGTTTCAGTTCGCATTTTCGCGATTTGAGTGGATTCAAAGTTGCTGAATGCTTGAAATACCTTCGTATGTTTGACACCTTTGATGGAAATATTTTATTGAAAATATAATTAAAATTTACTGAAATGTATTTGAAGCATATACACACACATACACTTTCTCTCTCTCTCTCTCTCTCTCTCTCTCTCTCTCNGACCTCATTTCATCATTATTCTATCGATATTTCAGTAAATATCAGAATATCTAATATTTCGAAAAATTGGTTGTTACTTTTCAACAGTATAATTTAACTTTCCTTCTATTTCACAGCATTACATGAAGTATTATTTTAATTATAGAGATAATTCTGATTCATATTGAAATATATTCAGTAACTTTGCAATATTTCACTTTCATTTCACACATTCAATAAATTTCCATCAGGAATACACAAAAATAAGATAAATTATTCAATTATTATCTTATACACAAGTCTCCTGTTAATTTTTTCAGACGCCGGAATTAACAGCGGAAGAACAAGAGCAACGTTTGAAGAAGGCGGAGGCGATTAGGAAGATGCTCTCAGAAACAACTGTGACCGCTCCGGAAGGAGGTGGTATGTTAAAACCTGTTTTTAACTACCACCTAACGTAGATGCACAACGCTTCGACATTCTAACGCTTCGACATCGTACGATTTCAGACGACGAGTCCAACGTGGAAAAGTCAGACACCTTAAAGCGAAAAGTGGTGGAAGAGAAGCGGCAGCGGGAGCACATTCTTCAGCTGAATCAGATATTAGCGAAGCAAGTGATGGAGAAAAGCAAAATGGTAGCGGGTACGTTGACGGATTCTCCTGGATACAAAGTTCTACGCATGATTTTTTATATACGTAGAACCGCGGGCAGCATGCGCTCTTTTCATATATTGGCTTTCGAAGATCGTCTCTTCGCTCCGTTTGATCGACGATCGATGGAATTTTTATTACGCTACGTCACGAATATTGTTCATTATTTTGTTTCTTCTATTGCTTACGGAAGCATTCTGCGAGGTTTTCCAGTGTTTATTTCATACGATTATTCAGTTCTCGAGCAAAGTACACACATACACACACGCTAACGCGGCGACGCATGCTTCACTCGAGCTGTATTACGCTGTTTTACGATGTACCATGACGGTTTCGAGAAAAGTTTGAGACGCGAAGTACCAGCGAATATGATTTCGTCTTAGGGAGTGTTGTTTGGATTGTTTGTGCTTGTGTGTAGGTAACCAGGCGCACTGACTGACATGCTTACTCCATCCTTCCCCTATATAGGACACGCACGTCACGTTATCATTTCCAGGTTTGTTTGTCATTTTTCATTTTTTTTTTCTTTTCATATCTCTCCTACTTTTCTCCCCGATCGAGCTAAACAGACGGGCCTGATCGTAACGATCAATTCCGTCGGCGTTTGCTGTGAAACGAGGCCAAGGTTGCGACTTTTCAAAACAAATTTTCCCACAAGCAATCGAGAAGGAGAGAGAGAGAGAGAGAGAGAGAGAGAAAGAGAAAGAAATTGCAAGAAAAAGAAAAGAAAATATTAATTTACTATGGCAACCAAGCGTCGTTTTCAGCAAATCGTATCGGTTCATCATGCACAATTATTTCATCAACATCTGCTTCGCCGACAGTGAAAGCTCTGGCAACGCTACCCCTGAAAACCGAGTCGAGCTTAGACGACGAGGACCTTTCGCCCGTGGCTCCCTTGCCGCTTTATCAGCAAAGAGAGAACTACTACTCGTAAGCTGCTCCTAAGAGCGCGAGGAACACTACTGCCAATACGAGGACGAGCAAGCGAGAGATCACGGAGGAGGAACACTCCTTTCCGACACTTCTTAGTTAAGAGGCGTGCGGAACTCGTGCAATATACACACACACACACACATACACACCGAGAAAGTCCTTTCCACCTTGCATTTCGAGAGATATGTATATAATCATCGACGATAAATAAAACGATAAGTAGCTGTCATATTCGTTGAACGGTTAAGAGCTCTCGCGAACTGACACAACGTTGAGTAACGCGCACGAGAGAGAGAGAGAGAGAGAGAGAGTGAACGTCGCCTCAAGCGCGCGGATCCGTGCGACACAAAAGAAGAGCGAAAAAAAGTCGTACGCATTATATCGGACTGCGAGAGCGAGCTCATTGTCTTTTCGAACCTCTGGAAAAATTCACGACCTCGCGACGACGATTGATTGTCCATTTTTTTACCGACCCTTTACATTCGGCGAGTTTAAGCGAGCGACACTACGCCGTAACCCTCGCCGGCGAGCGATGTTCCACGAAACACGGAAACATCGCCCGTGCGCGATTTCGGAAACCTTTTTACACGCGTCTCTTCGCACAACCGAAAGTTCTTTACGAGTCGTGTTTTACGAGTCAACGTGTGTATTTACAAGTGTAATTTACAAGAGATATGCGCTCTCTCGACTGATGAGGATCTGATTTGGATATCATCGCGCGATCTCGTTTTCAAAATCATTTTCACGCGAAGCGAAAGAAACTTTTATATCGAGCGACGAGAAATATCGCGTCACCAAAGTCTGAGCGAAGTAATAAACCCGTAGATTTAACGGTGCGCGCGGACGAACTCGTCATTTTAGCGACGACGAGATAACTTATATATTTCGGCTCGATCGTACACACGAGTCGCAAGTTGGGGGCGAGAAAGAGAAGAAGTTACGCACGCGAGAGGTATAAATATAAGGAAAACACACATATACACACACATAGACACAGGCGAGACGCTCCCTCCGCACTCTTAAGATGTCGAACACGCTAAAAGATCGAGCCTCGAAGTAGAGATTTTACTCGCCGAAAACTCGATAACGGATAAAGGAGAAGGTGCGCCCGAATCCGAAGGATTCGCCGCCGAGGACGCGCACGAGGAGATTACCGAGATAAACTAGATTGTAAGGAAACGCATGATACATACGCTTGTGAAGCGCCCGTTATTGTTAGCGTTATATACGATTTTTCACGGGCCATTTTATAGCATGGCATCTTAATGTTTAGAGCAGAGCTGTGTAATGGAGAGTCGTGACGGTGGTGATGTGTGCCAAATATCCCGGATCGCGGCGACAAGCGGCGAAATTGATCGTCGATTAACGGATCGCCGCGTTGTCGTTGAGATCGGGACGGAAGAACGAGAACCGTGTGAACACCGCGGGAACGTACGCGCGTTTAATGAGGCGTTTACTGCAAAAGGAAATCGCAATCGTGTCACACACATCGGTGTCTCGTTCGAGCGTTCGCTCAGTCCGGTCGAATTTCATCCGAACTTCGAGACAGATTCAGGACCTCCTGCACGGAAAACGTCCGCAATGCTTTAAGTTACGTTAAAGTACTGGCCTTAAGCGCAGCTTATGCTTAGCAGTAAACTTACGTCAGCGCAACGAAGAAAATCTTAACGTAATTATGTATGATTAGGAAGGTCATTCATAAAGTTCCTCTATAAATTCTCCATAGATCACGTCTGACGAAAATCTTGATTAAGCTATTTCGTTCCTACATAGAAACAACAAATTTACCCATCTTCAAACATTTTTCGTCCACGATAAAGGTAGATTCTAGTCGAGATTTGGTTATTGACATATAATTTGGACTTTCGTCTTTCAGATAATAATTTCACCTGCTTACCACCCATCGCCGGCGTAGGGCCTTAGTACTTAACGTAACTTAACTTCGCGTTGCGCACACTTCTGTGCGGAAGTCTTCAATCCCGTCGTTGACGTAGCTCGGGCTACGTCGGAATTATCGGGATGAGTGTCGTCTTCCTTGTCGTCAAACGACAAGGAAGAATTCGTACCGTGTGAGTGTCAATTGGATCCCTTTAATCTCCGAGCGAATTTCACCAGCGATTTCATTCGAACATCCGCGAACGAAGGTACGAGGTTCCGATTAGGCTCGATCGGCCTGAGCTTTTTGATCGGTGAGTCAGTTCGGTCAGACCGGGCCTACGTCAAGGTATTATTTCGTCGATCACTACACCCCCCTCTAGCATCAACTTTTCTTTTCTTATACTTTGTTTTCGAGAAATGTTCTTAAATGTGATGTTTCCGCTTGTGCGCTCGCTTGTATAGCTAACGTTACAGGTACGTTCGTAGAGATTAATTTCGAATTATTAACCCTTCGGTGGTATGAAACATTCACGATCAGTCTCTCTGCCTGACACTCGCTCTCTACGTTGAGGCGCAAAATATTCGTAATTTATTGCATCTCCTAACAACTTCCCGCGTAATAATTCGTATAGATATAGGCGTTATACATAAATTTATTTAAGTTCACTTTTGTGATTCGTTCATCAGAAAAGAGAATCCTTTTCGAGCTACTGTCGACGAAAGAATTGCAAAAGCGACAGCCACCGAACGGTTAATAATAATAATAATAATAATAACAATAAGAATAAAATAATAATAAAAGCGAGGTGGAGGCGATCCTCCATTCCTCCAGGTGGCACAAGACGTTCCTAGGGTCATCCTGAATATGCCTAGAATGTTCTAAAGAAATGTCTTAGAACATCTTAAATGCATTCAAGGTGGCCTCAGAGCCTCAGTGCTGTCTGGGCTTTACAATCACTTACGGCACCAAACAGTGAAGAAACCAATTATTTCTCAGAAACGGTAGACTCACCCCCCGAGCGTCCATGAGACTCCATTCCTGGTGCTGGAGGAATGATGATATTGAGGATGCTGATGATGGATAACCGGCGTCCCCTTGAGTGTCCTTTCCCCCTTCTTTTGTGGATATCTCACTTGGCGCACAGTATCTTTCTCGCGAATTAGCAGGCGAATTCTACGCATTCGCCGACACTCGCGCGACAAACCACCCTCCCTCCCCCCCCCTTTCCGCGCGACGAGTTCTCAACGATAGTTTTTATAATCCGACGATAATCCGCGCGCGACACGACGTCGCGGGACACACACCACACACATACAGAGCGAGATCGTCACGGTGCGGCACGTAAGCCCACAATTATTGTACATATAATCGTGTACGCGACGAAACGACGCGAGATCGGAGGAACGAACGGCTGCCTCTTCGCGATCGCGTCGTGAACTGAAGTACGCGCCACGTCGAGTACCGACGTCGAGAATCGCAAGCGGGCGGGCGGGCAAGCGAGCGAGCGGTCGATCGATCGATCGTTGACGCGCGATCGATATCGTTTCGTCGCTGATCTCAAACGATCACCGGCGCGAACCGGTTCGTAGGAACCGAGGCATCGCGCGGCATCGATGATACTAACTCTTAGGACAGAATATTACTCGCGAATTATCACGAGAACGAGAACTGTTATTGTTATAACGATGAAATAAAACGTCGTACGACGAGCAGCAACGGTGTGTTGCCTTATTCTTTCGCCTCCCTCGTCCTCGACTCACAAGTTTAGATCGAAGTTCGAAGTGAGCTGTGAGCTTTAACAGTTGAGTTTATTGTAGATTGTTGTCTCTCAGCTGCATAATCGAGCGAATGTTGGCGTTAATATTGGCTCGGTAACTTGATTAGGAATAGGGTGCATAAATTCAAGGATCTCGATGAGAGATACTGTGAGGATTCTCGTCACGCAATTAGAAACTTACCGCTTTCTTCATGCAAACGTAAGCTTGCATTAATTTTTTATAAATTTATCGTGAATCGGAAGGTTTGCGATCGATTTACAGGTTTGAATTTATAAACGTATATATAAATATCCTCTTACTCGCGCAAAACAAGATTTAATTGCTCAAAGGAAGATTTAAACTTCTAAAATCCGATTTAGAACGAGAGATTCAAGTAATAATAAGTTTTAGAACGAGTACGTTAATTGACATTGATGCACACTCAGTGGTCATATCGATGCACGTGAACGAATAAGGTCAGTCGGTTTGAGGTCGTTGGCGCGTCGTAGTATTTTCTGGCTCGACGTCGAAAATGGCGCACATGCTAAGATCCAAGTTCGTGCTGTTGTCATTGAAATATGTAAATCTTACCGCGTCACGTATCTCCGTGCCCTTAAAATATCACCGATTATGCTTTCACACCAGCGGGATCCTCGACGGTATGGCATTTACTCAGAAACAGCGTCGTTTCTTAGCAACATTCAATCGGCGTTTCGAGGTTATTTCCAAAGGAATCTAAATTGTAAAAATGTTGAATCGATGAAGCCACTACGTTCTCGATGTAATATAAACGAGAGCGTGGAAGGATCGATTTGACTGCCTTCGACAAATTTAAATTTTTCATTCGCCTTGCATAAACACTTCACGTCTCTTTTGATTATGCAATCGAACATCCCAATTTTTGTCACACTGTCAACAATGTCTGTTCTTTGGTCCTTACTTGACTCTGACATATGGACATTTGTTATTCCAGTGAAGGGAAAAGAAATGTTGATGCCTTCTTTGTCACCTACCATGGAAACTGGCACTATAGTAAAATGGTTCAAAAAGGAAGGTGATAAGATCGAGCCTGGTGATGCTATTGCGGATATTCAGACCGACAAGGCGGTGGTCACGATGGAACTTGAAGATGAGAGTATATTTGCAAAAATAATTGTAAGTAGAACAGCTGATTTTAACATCAAATTATTCATATTGAAGGAGGTTGCGTATAAATTACATAAGGTATATTAATTAGATACCCGAGGGAACCAAAGACGTTAAGGTGGGCACTCTGATAGCTCTCACTGTCGAGGTCGACGAAGATTGGAAAACGGTAGAGATGCCAGATAATGCAGCAGCTACAGGGACAGCGCCAGCTGCTCAACCCACGAGTACTCCAGTCACAAGTCCAACAGCAGAACCACCATCCGGCCAGTACGATCTTTCACCGCACATTCTAGGTTATAACTGATTTAAAAGAACACAGGAATAATAGTTGCGATTTTCAGGCAAAATATTCTCATGCCTGCCCTCTCACCGACGATGACAACAGGCACGATTATAAAGTGGCTGAAGCGGGAAGGTGATGAGATACAACCAGGCGATGCACTGGCGGAAATTCAGACGGACAAGGCTGTGATGGCTTTTGAATTAGAGGAGGAATGCATACTTGCGAAAATTCTTGTACGTATCTCGTTATTATTACACAGGCTTTTGAATACCCCTAAGTTCCTGTCTCGATAACGGATCTTGCTGCTGTTCTTCAGGTTCCGGAAGGGTCTCAGGTAGAGATAGGGCAGTTGATAGCTATCACTGTTGAGAAGGACACGGATTGGAAGCAAGCTGTTGTACCAGCATTGACTAAGCCGTCCGCAGCACCTACGCCTGCATCTGCACCGCCGCCGAGTCCTGCTCAACCAGCTACAGCAGCCGGTGCAAAACCACCACCAAGTGGACAGTACATATACTCTATTCATTTATTTGTACAACTAATTATATATTTAATTACACAAAATTTCTTACTTCTCCGTCATACTTTATTAACGCAACTTCTAATTATTACATTTTTAGAGTTTACGGTTTGGCGGTGAAACGATTGCTGGAGGAATATGGTCTTAGTTCGGGCTCGATCAAAGGTACCGGGCGTACGAATCGTCTACTGAAGAGCGACGTCCTCGCATACATCCAAGCGCACAATGTTAAAAAAGTTACGCTTAAAGCCGGTATATAAATATAATGATAGATCTGCAATCTTCTAAAGTAGCTATGCCATGCTCACATTTTTATTTGTTTTCGGCCAGGAGAAGCCCCAAAGACTGCCAAGGCGAGTCCATTGGAGACGCACGTCCCTGTTGGTAAGCCGTCTCCGTACGAAGATATTGAGATCTCCAACATTCGTAGTGTTATCGCTAAACGGCTTGGGGAGTCAAAGGTACGCGACTAGATCGTAGGAATTTTCATAACTAAACTCGCTTGTCTTTTAATTAATTTAATGAAAATGACGATTCTCCTCCAGAGCACCATACCGCATTCTTACGCGGTGATAGACATAAATATCGATAAGCTGATCGAGCTTCGTGGGAAACTGAAGACGGAGGAGGATGTTAACGTCTCGATTAATGATTTCGTTACCAAGGCTGTCGCTTACGCGCTCGTCGAGTGTCCCGATATAAACACAATATATAAAAACGGTCAAGTCAGTACGATGAAAATTAATTCGATCGTGCTAAAGTACGCTATTTAATTAATTGTATGAATGCTTGATTATATCTAGGTGGTTCGAGTTCCTAAGATCGATGTGTCTGTAGCGGTAGCAACGTCGACAGGTCTTATCACGCCAATAGTATTTGATACTGTCGCTAAGAGCTTAACGGACATCTCTAAAAACATTCGTGAATTAGCTGAGAAGGCGAGGAAAAATCAACTGAAGCCTCACGAATTTCAGGGAGGCACATTCACGTAAGTCGCGACTGGAAAGTATGTGAAAAGAAATGACGAAAGGAACGAGCACGTTAACAAATGTGGATTTTATCGTTGTAGAATATCAAACCTAGGAATGTTCGGAATCAAAGAGTTCTCCGCCATTATAAATCCGCCCCAAACTGCAATTCTTGCTGTAGGCTCCGGACGTGAAGAATTAGGTAATATAACTAAGCAAGGTGTTCGACATTACTCACAATAATTTGAAGGTTGAGTTAAAAGTTTGAAAACATTAAAAAAATCACAGCTCAAGTCTGAAATACTAAAAATGACAAAATACCAATAAATACTAATAGTGACAAGAGTAACAATAATATTTTTTTGCTATGCTTCTACAGATTCTTCGTTAACGAAAGTAACAACAATGACGGTGACATTATCGTACGACAGGCGGGCGATTGATGAAGATCAAGCCGCTGACTTTTTAGCTGTTCTTAAATCTATGCTACAAGATCCCAGTTTCCTAGCTATCGGTAAAATACCGGCACTCAGGTACAAGCGTGATATTTATTAATAATTTTCTTCACGAAACGAATGCCGTTCGTTTACTGCAAAAACAGCTTATTATTTCGTTCGATTGGTGGAAAAATTGATATTATTGTTTCCTTTTTTCTTGCGTCATCTCCTCACTTTCCCTTTCGGAGGATTGAATTGTGGAAAGGTGCAGGAATTCGGTGTCGGTAGTAATTATAATTAGACAGTATATGTACTAGCAATAATATCGTCACTACGCAAAGCTACGCAGTATAAATAAATCATTAGCTGTTTTTGTAGTAAACGAGGAGGTTGATATTAGTTCACGTGATTCCTGTCGTCTTCACGTACCACATACATACATTGTTAGAAGTGAAGAAGAAAAGGGGAAACACGATTTACGCAAAACTTATTGAACTAATAACTGCGCGTTGTTGTTACGTCAAGGTTTAATCGGTAAGAATGTAATTTTTATATATCCGTATTGCTGCCAAAGATATTAACAGCGACTGACGCTACCCGCTCACGTATTTAATGCTACCGATTACTTAGGAAAGCACAAGTCGACTTAAACTGCCAAAAGGTACATAACACACGAAGAAGGAGCATTTCTAAAAAGATATACACGAATGCCAAACGTCAAATCTGTGGTTCTCAAAACATTCTTTATTCAACAAATTAGTTGTGAAATTAATCGGAATCTTTTACGATCGGAGCTCGGACGATGGAAAATGTCTATTACTGTATATTTAGAATTTTGTAAATAATTAGAGCGTTTATGTAATTATACATAAGTCTTGTAAATATGTGGGAACTTTGTAAGCCCTGCTACAAAGGTAACATTCTCCGGATTTACAAAAAAACTTCATCTTTTACCATCGCGACGAGTGTTTCAGGATAAATTCGATTTGTCTCCGAATACTTGAAAAATTTGCTGAAAATTTGCCGGGTTTAACACACACACGGTGATCTCTTCTTCTTGAACGATAAGTTATTAATTTCAGATACATCATATAGTACGATTGTATATAATTTGATGCGTATCTCTAACATTTAAGCTGAATTAATCGGGTGGTAGGATCATGAATGAAACTCATGACTCCCATCTTGTAAATAAAATATTTATTGCATAAAATATGTGATGTTCTTACTGAGCGCGTCAGTAAATGTCAATCTGCCTCCTGTCCGATACACAGAAAAGTAATACATTATTACAAATTACGCAACTGACGATACTCAAAGCCATATATGTAGGGGGATCCTGCTAGCATTTCTCTCTTTTTTTTTTTTCCGAGAAAACACGAATTGATATTTTGCGCAAATATTTGATTCTCGTTATAGTCTTAACTTCGTACGTTTGGTCGCTGATAAAATCGCTCTTATATACCTATTATTAGTTTGAACCGTACATGTTTCTTCGATAAGGCACAAATGTTGGAATTTCTCGTAAACTTTCGCGCTTCGTTTCGATTTGTCTCGCTCCGTTTTTAAAACCTCAAACACATTCCTACGTAATATTGATGACGGTGTTTTATTGCCTTTTTATTTGGAAAATCGTGCGAGCGATCACGACATTGTATGAATATATCTCAAATTACCAGACATACATACATACATACATACACACATATATACATACACACATTTTACACGCTATACTGACGGAAATTCAATGAAACGCTTCCTTATTGCCTACGTTACAGCAATAATAATCATTTCAACCCCGTGGTCAGTGTAATTTGATATAGTTATACGATGATGATTCTAATCAAGTATGGTCTTTGACAAGACTTAAATTGTGCAGTAGTAGAAGTAACTTAACTTTCTCTTATCACAGTCGTGACTTTATGTATACTTGATATTGTTGCTTGGAAAATTATCCTAAACATATCTACATAGATAATCGTCCTTCTCGATAACCTAATCTTATTACGCGCAATTGAGTGTTGCGTTAACGAACGCTGTTAAACATCTATGTACGCGACGGTTATAAAATTAGCTAAATGAATACAGTATTTGGTTGAGCAATATCGCGCTCTTCATGAAATACGATATAAAAGCTTTCAAAAAGATATATATACGCTACAAAATTAGGTAAAGTCTTACAAAACTATGGACGGTGTTCATAGAGTTTGATCTCATATTTAAGAAAGTCTTAAGCTCACCTTCAGATACTGTGAAGGCGGGTATTGTGATTGGCTGGATATTATCATAAAATAAACTCAGAAACGTACAGAGATAAATTAGTGTTGTAAATTTAAATAAAGCCTGTATAACTGAAACGATTGTCGACAAATTGAGATAGTGAACATGCAAATAAGAGCCCTTGAAAACGCTGATGACTCGTAACGAAGGCGATCTTAAATATAAGGTCAGTTTATGAATACCGCCCTGTGTATTCTTATAAGAAAACACATAAAAGTGTCCCTGACCGATTTCAACGAGCTTTGAACAAGTTTTAGAGCAGCTAAATATAAAAAATACGTTTGCTTTTATGTGTGCTTTTTCGAAACGTCGAAAAAAAAAAGTTCGAAAGTGATTAATCAATTACTTTTAACTAGATGCCTATAGATTTTCAAATTATTTATTTGCTTTTCTGAAAGTGAAAAACGAAGGTTGAAAATATATTTACTATAAATATATTTAAAGAAGCTATTTTCGAAAAATATAAAAATACAATTATAAAGAACATCATACGTATGAAACTTGGTTAAAACCTGTTTAAAACATGTTCTTCATGTGCTTCACAGTCTTAAAAAATAAAAAGACGCACATTCTAAGAATGTTATTGAATCTTCTTCGAAGGAATGTTGCAACTTTTAAACCTGCGAGAAGGCAAATGTAAAAAAATACGTATCTCTTATTTTTAGCTGCTTTATACAAATACAAGGTCCATCACGATCGTTGAAGGACACTTCTGTGTTTCTTCGTGAGTAAATTTACAAGGATCACGCATAATCAAGTATTATGATTGCGACATGATGACATAATACTCCATTCGTAATACTTCATTTTCGTATTACCTCTCGTGTTATTAAATGACAGCTCAATTCATTTTGCGCGCATAAAGAGCGAAATTTTTTGGGAGTAGTTTTATGTAAGACTAATAATAATAATAATGGTCCCTTACACTATACACGTTAACTTATCTGTAAAAATGCGTTATCAGATGTATGTTGTTTTTATACCATTTTTTTTTCTTTTTTTCTTGAGAAAAGTTAAGCTCGAGTCTAATTAATCATGCGTTGACATCCAAGTTTGTATGTACAATTGACTTCAACATCCATCCATCCATCCTTCCTCCCTCCCTTGCTCCCTCACTCACTCACTCACTCACTCACTCACTCATTTACTCATTCACTCACTCACTCACTCACTCACTCACTCACTCACTCACTCATTCGCTCACTCACTCATCACTCACTCATTCATTGGCCTAAGTACAATTCACTAGAAAATATTTACAACTTCGTACATGTTATTGTATCTTTTTTTATATGGCCAATTCTCTAAAATTCGAACACTTTGCGCGCATCGACCTTATATAATTTTCTTCCAAAAGAGACGTGAAAAATGCATCCTATGTACAGCTAAAACATTCTACGCCTGCCCTCGACAAAACATGTAACTCGCATGGCGGATCGCACGCATTTATTGTGATATTATTGAGCAGAGATGCCCGGCTATAGTGAAGCCCTCAGCTACGGTAAATCGTATTACACGTAACGTAAAATAAATGATTCGTCTCTGATCGTCGAGACCGGTTTGAATACATATATCCAACACGTGGCATCAGTTTGCAATTTTTTTTACCGCATCACGATATAATTAAGTAGCACGACTCAGAGACTCAACTACTTATAAACTCTCTCTCTCTCCCTCTCGGGGACGAAATGTATCTCATATAAAGTAATCTTAAGATGACTATACAACACAAACACACGTACGCCTACACCGTGCAAAGTGCGCACTATGTTTTGCTTTCCTGAACAATGTTGAACCGGAGGGATCGATGGGCAGTCGGGTGAGCTGAAAACGTTGAAAAATCAAACGCGACGCGCGAAATTTCGTCCTCGTGTGCGCACTTAGTACAGAATAGCTCCTTCGGAGCGACGTCGTGTGTGTGCGTGGGACATATACACACCGAGAGGCCACACCGGCAAAAGAAAGAAATGCGACGATATACGGAATTCTTCGGGGTAGCGCTCAGTCGTACACCTTCTGGAGGATTCTCTGCGCCGCGCGGATCAGCGGCGTCAGCGTGGCCAGTTCCGCGCAGTTCTCCAGGAACGGATGGGAGAGCAGCTCGTCGGCGGTCGCCCTTTCGTCCACCTCGACGGTCAAGCACCTCTCCAAGAAATTCTGGAACGTCGAGCTGAGGCTGTTCCACCTAGGAACGGCCGGCTTACCCATGGCAGCGATTAAATATAGCGCTCTCAACGGCGTCTCCTTCATGTAAGGCGGCTCCCCCTCTATCATCTCGATGGCCATGATGCCCAACGACCAGATGTCCACCTTCTTGCCGTACTGCTTCCTGGTGACCACTTCAGGCGCCATCCAGTACGGCGTGCCGACCATGGTCTGCCGCTTCTCGTCGTCCTTGATGTTGGCGCAGAAGCCAAAATCGGTGACCTTCACCGCGCCGTTCTTCCCCAGGAGCACGTTGTCCGACTTGATGTCCCTGTGAATGATACCTCTGGTGTGCAGGAAGCTTATCGCTTTGAGGACCTCCCGGCAGACAGCTGCGATCTGCGCCTCCTTCATCACAGTCTCGGTGGCTACATCTGTGAGCGGCCCGCCCTCCAGGAGCTCCATAACAACCCAGAGGTGCTCGTCCACCAGATAGGCGTCCAGAAAGTTCACCAGGTTGGGATGGTGGAACTCCTTGAGCACCTTGATCTCGGTTAGTATCAGCTCCTTCTTGGGCTGCTTCGACAGATCTATGTCCTTTATGGCTACTTTCTGGCCATACTGAAGGTCGGTAGCTATAAAGACGGTGCCGGAGGCGCCGGCTCCTACCTCCTTGATCCTCTCGAAGCGCAGGTTGGGGTCGCCGTGGTGGCAGATGGCCCTGAGCTCCTCGTACACTTGTTCATCGTTCAGCCTCCCGTCGGCGAACTCGTCGGTCTTCCTCCGCAGGATCGGACTCTCCTCCACCGTGCAACGCGGCGTGTCGCTCTCCTCTCCCGTGTGCCGCTGCTGCTCCTCCTCGTTCTCATTTGCCCCTTCCTCGTCGGCCGAATCGTCGTCTATCATGTACGTGTTCAGGTCCTCCAGTATCTCGGTGAGGCTCTTCTCCGCCCGGTCGTTGCATTTGCGCGGCGCCGGCTTCGGCGGCTTGTTCGGCGGCTTGTTCACCTTAGGCGGCAGTTCGGGCAGCCTCTTCGTCGCGCGCTTCTCGGGCGTCGTCGTCTTCTTCGTCACTGTTATCGGACAGCCCGCGCCTGAGTCGTCGGACCGAAACTTCTTCGTCAGGATGTTGTCGATCTCCTGCGACTCCTCCTCGATCAGGTCCTGCGTGACGAAGGGCTTGAACACCTCCTCCTGCGGCTTACGCTTCATGGAGTAGTTGTAGAACTTGATGGCCTGCAACGCCGCGGCCGGATGCTCGTCCTGCTCGGACTTGGAGAGCTGGGCGTTCAGCAAACGTATCCATGGGTCCGGCAGGCCCTCCAGCTGTCCGGTCACCGCGTTCTTGCTCACGTGGAACTGGTGCGAGACGTTGGTGGGCAGGCCGATCTCCGCCACGGTGTCGGTCGGCCCGCTCCGCTTCTTGGAGAAGAACTTGGTTAGGCTGAGGCTCATCTTGGAGCGAGCTCTCACGTTACTTCCCTCGCGTCGTCAGCCCCGCCGTTCGCTTCTTCGGGGAATCAACCGGAGGAGAAGAGAAGGAAGGGGAAGGAGAATGTAAGGAAGAACACAACAGCCGGACACACAACGCGGGTCAAAACGCGACGTTCATCCCGAATACGTCAGTCGCTCCATCGACGGCAACGACCATCCCGTCGAGTCTCACGCCCGATTACACGCCGGCGGGCGACGTTATCAGTGCTGCCAATTGTGCGACGACGCGTCAATGCGCGCCATCTGATCCCTATGAGTTTCGAACGTTTCTCTCGACCGGAATCGATCGCTCGCGCGACCTCGCCGAGCGTTCGAGAATTTGAATACGCGCGGGCTGCCTCTCGAGCGTCTCGCGCGCTCGTCAAATATTGATCCTCCGATTAACGGACGATCGTCGGACGAATTTCGACGCATCATCCGTTATCCGTGATTTCGAATATACGAAGAGACTTGCTATTGACACGTTGGTACAATTGATACGTACAGTAATGACAAAATGACCGATATGACGCACGCTTGCTACCCGGATACGTAATAATGTATCTAAGTAAGATATATCTTGAGCTTCCCCGGATGTCCTATGAACGTCGCTTAAGATATCCCGAGGATATCACGTAGGTGGAGACTCGTGCATCTGCTGGATATCCAGTGGATATATTTGAGACCATCATTTTAGGGTATCCTACGGCGATATCTCAAGATGTGATGTAGAACGTCTTTCGGATAAAATGTGCTACAAAATATGATTATAATACGTTATATATGTTTAAAGAACGTACATGAAATTAAATGCATTATTCCGAAACAATGAAATTAACGTGTGCTACTTAGGAATCGTGACAAACGAATCTTATGTTCGTTTTTCCCTGTTTTTCGCGGCTTATCTGATTTATTCTAAATTTTTGTATTCATACTCGAAATTATGATAACGGATATTAATATGGTTACGGATATGACGAAGAACTATCAGCTACCTTATTAATATTTTACCCCGGCGTTCACCGATGAAGTTCATGCAATTTTCCGTTTTCCCTCTTTTCTCTTTCTCCTTCACACCTTTTCGTTCCTTTTCTGCACCGACCTCTGCGTCAGTCGAAATATAATATGTTAATCGCAATTCGTTTAAATGCATTATTCCGAAACAATGTTTCATTCATGCGGAAGTAAGTAATGGAGGGGTCCTTTCTTTTTTTCATGAACCGCTTACGTCCATATAAAGTCGGAATAGCGCAAATAAATTTCAAAATATTTTCACTCAACGGCCTAAGTGTTATATAACATATGTTGTGTATAACAGCTATATTGTCCAACGAAAAATAAACCATCGAAATTATATTGAATTGGAGTCGATTTGATATCGATTAAACGTCTATTCGATTCGCGTTTATTTCCAGCTAGATGCTGAACGAGAAATATACAGATATCCTAGGGTCTTAGTGTCCGAGATATTTCAATATTTCACGATATCCTATTGAAATCTCACAATATCCAAATATCCTGCTATATCTGTTTGTTTTATATAATACATTTCACGATATGATGTTATCAGTAACAGTGTAATTTTTACACTACTTCGATCAAGCGAGAAATGTGCATCGAATCGACGTCGGAATAATCGAAACGACATCGAATCGACCTCGATTCGATGAGTCACCTCTCGCAGGGGAATGCTAATACTACTATTCGAATACTCGAATACACGTTAGCACAAATGATATCCAGCAACTAAACGATGACTTATGACATATAAATTTTAGTATTTATTATCAAATCCTTTTTTCAATATATAAAGTGAGACGTGATATACTTGTACGGGAAATTTATGCGATTATGCGTATAAATTCCCGTTCGCAGTAAAAATATAGAAATAAAAGTATAGAAATAAAAATAGGAAGAGAGAAGGGGAAAACATTCAGATGGCTGTGAGCGATCGTCGCCGCAACAGTCGCGCTTAAAAGAACTCGCCGAGATCTCGTGAAAAAATCATAAAATTGGCAATCAGACGCGAGTAATTAGTTATTTTAAATCTAATCTGCGTTTTATTCGCACATGCTCCTCCTCCGTGTTAGATGCTTGCTACGACGATCGCTTGAAAGAAGATTCTGCGTAGAAACAATGTTTTGCGGCATTATGCAATTCGGTGGAAACATTTCGCTGTGTCGATGCAGCTGCGGAAATATGATATTTTGCGTCATACCGGACTCGTCAACAGGAATAGTACGTAGCAGTCCCCACTTCGTCTATCTTTTTACCTTTTGGCCTATGTTAATCTACGTAATCGATCTCCGCCGATACGCAGATTGGCATTAACATTCGCAATGACGTAAAGTAAGTCATTGGCGTATACATTTGTTTTTGCCCATTTCCTCTTTGATCACCCCTCCCGGCTATCGCTTTAACTATGTTATTCTTGCTGCGTTTGTGACAAGATAGTGGTAAAACAAATACCATTGAAATCAATTTCATGATATCATCATTGTTGACATCGGAGTGCGTAAATCGTCTATTAAGAGAGCAGATGTTCCCGAGTTGCCGACGCGAAGTCATATTGCGTAGAAGACGACGATCGAGAGTTTGTCCTTGCGTGATTGCATTGAAAACGGGATACAGTGAATTTTAAAAGAGATCTCCCTTTTCTTTTTTGCCATTCTATCTCTCTCCCATTAATTACATGATTTCGTGAACATTAAGTCGTAAATGCTTAAAATAGCCTGCATTAATTCCTGTACGGTCAGATTTTTATGCGTACTTATTTAGCACGAAGGGTTCTAAAAACTATAAATGTTGTTCGCGTAATGATAACATGATATTCTAAAGTGAATGTATTTACTAACGTGAACAAACAAGGAAGCGATACGATATGAATTAGTGTCAGTAGTGTCTCAATAAGGGATCGATATTATCGTCGAATACTTCAAACACCGATAGTATTTTCCGAGAATATTATAAGTACGCGTACTCTTCTTACTCAAATATTTGGAAATATTTATCGATGGGAGTAAATATTTCGTATTGAGGTCTGAATCTGCTTTATTTCATACTGAAATTCTCCTAAATTTCTCAACGACGAGCAGAGTGCTTGACGTACGAGATATTTCGTACAAAGTGCAGCGAGCGGTTTTTCAAAAACTGGGAAACAACGAGACACTTTTGATACTCCGGAATTTCAGACGGCAGACAGTTTTTTTTTAACGCAACGATATACGGTTATCTATTTGCCGGAAAAACAATTGATTAGAAACTAACAGTTTTTCCCTGACATATTTCTGGCGTGTTCAACATGTTCAACAGGTTTTATTCATATCTTTGCTAGTAATCGTTTGACATTGAAACATACAACACAAAAGTCTGAATAATCATACAAGATGTATAATAGTAAGTTTTAAAGCTGCCTATGTTTTAAAGCCACCCATTAACAAATCTAATCGTGAGCTTATTTTGCATTTAAATTATTGTCATCGATAGCAGATTGTCATTGAAAGCCAAATGTTTCGTCGTTGGAAATATAAGCCTTTAACAGAGTAAATCATTCAACTAATAAATTATTGAGTTATTCCAAATAATTCAGTTATTACAAATAAGTCAATTCAAAATAGATAAGTCTATCTCTCTCCATAATTCCTCTTCAAAGCTATTGTAGTCGTCTGAAAGATGCGTGCGTCAACGAGCCTAAGTTTAGGCTTTTCAACGAGTTTCGGCCAGATCCGTGAAAACTTCTACAGGTGCATTCATCAAGGAGGGAATAGAACAAGGCAGTTCGTTGGGAAGAAGATCGATATTTTCAAATCGACCGAGATTGGCGTGCCTCGGACGTTCGTGTCGTACATAGGACTTATCGTTACATTCTTCGTTTATCGCTGTTTTCATTATCATTCGATCGTACTACTCGAAATAAGAAAACACCCGAGGCGCGGCGTGCGCGAAGTCCGCTACTGCCGTCGCGTAGCATACACATGCCAATTTACCTCTACCTTTTTTTCACTCCCTTTTCATCCCCACTTTATTTCCACCTCACCCGCCTCTTTATCTGGCAAAGGAGCCGGGAGGAGAAGGTAAAATATGGAAAAACCGGTCGGTGTCTCTCCACTGCACTGAGGAGCAAGCGCAGGATCACGCTTGTCATAAAGTAGCGCTCGACGATGCTACATTTACCGCCACGCATCGTTATATTTTACGTCGCATATCTTTCTCAAATTGGAATGCATTTTGCACGTATCCTACGTTACCGATTTCATCTGCGTTCTATTCCAAAACCGTATTCGACGGATGAGTGAACGCCAATTAACAGTAACGTAACGTCAATGTTATCAATTTTCTACTTAATAATGCATGTTTATGGTGGATAGTAAATAATTGACCAATGATAAAGAAATCTTTGCTCTTTTTGTGCCGATTAGTCAATTAAATGTTGTCCCAGGTAGAGCACGATGAAAATAACGATGACGTGATAATAATGACGTGAATCAAAGTGATGGAAAAATGACTTTTTGAATGACAGTCATTTTCACGTCATCGTTCATTTACTGTTCTATCTGAAACTCTACCCGTCGATTAGGGTCTTGGAACGCAGCGCTTGCACCATTTAATGATAACAAAAAAGCCTCGTCGTCGCTTTTATATCTGGTGTTTTTTTGCATCCTCGCGTAAAAGGACGATCTTTCGTGTCAGTACGGTCAGAATCTCGTATAATGCGTGTGCAAGGAAAATGCAGAGGACGAGTCTGCATACGCGGAGAGCCTTATCGTTACACACGGACAGCGGCGGATCAGAAGTTAAAGATCAGAGGAGGAAAACGATACAACGTTATCGCAGGCTGTGAAGAAAGGAAGATCGCGAGACCGGCTACGATGACGGCATGCAACGATAAACGATACACACCGCCGTTCTTTTTCTTTACGGTAAACTTCCCGTTCGTGCGTAATAAGAGCGTAAGGCATTGCGTCGACATTCGCGCGCGTGCTGCCGGTTCGCGCCTTCGGCAAATATTTCCCGGTGTATTTCCCGTGTACTTTCGAGAATCGAACGACGTACATTCTTATTAATAACAACTTGCGCGTGCTGTCCCTCCGCTCGCGCTTATCGACGCGATGAAGGAGGCGCGATTATCAACATGTTTTTAATGAACTCGTACCCTGTCGCAATTTTTCCTCCCCTTTACCGCGACTCGCTCGCTCTCTCGCTCGCTTACCCGCCAAACGAGCGGCGCCGCGCGGTTTCCTCCCTCCCTCTCCTACCCGTACACGTAAAATCGTCAGCTACCCCCACCATTGTGATCGCCATCATCAAAGGCATTCGACAAGTTCGCATAGCTGCTGGTTGAAGCGGCGTAGAGGGAGAGAGGGACTTCTGGTTCTTGGCGTTTTTTCCCCTCTCTTTTCTTCTCTCCCTCTCTTTCTCTTTCTCTCTTTCCGTCTTTGTCTTTCTGTTTCTCCGTCTCCCTCGCTAACTCCGCTCGCTCATGCGTCTTTCTCTCCCTTCCTCCTTCGTTCCCTCTCGCTTTTTCCCCCTTGCGCCTGCCGTCCGATAAATAAAATATTAACTGACGCTTAATTCGAACAAGCCGTATTCGCGATCGGACGATCGAACCGACAAGCAGTGAACCAGCAAACGGTCGTTCCACTTGAGCAAACGCGCGCGTTCAAGTTTTTCCCACCTGCCTCCAGACACTCACCACACTGTTACTGCGCAGTGTGCCCGCGATTGGTCCATTCTACGCTGTTGTGGCTACCTAGGATAACGAAGCTATTCGACCTGTAATACACACGTCCTGTTCGTATCCAGTTTGCTTCGAACGACGCCGAATGAAGGATACCCGTCGCTGAAAGTAAAGCGGAGACAGAGAGAAAGAGAGAGAGAGAATTCACAATTCACGTGGTTGCACTTATTCTCTTTTCATTTTCTCTCTTTCTCGACGGTTCGGAGTTTACATCCGGAAATACCGAGACATCCCTCGTGAGAGACGCACGTCGAAGTAGGCGCGCGCGCGCACAAGCGGTGTATTTCCGTATAATGAGCTGCGCCGGATACGCAAGACAGCGAAAACGTATAGCAACGAACGTGCGTTAGAGCGACTTTCCACCTACCCGTCACTTCCCGTCTGGATCGGCCCAATATGGTTCACCTACGACGCAAGGTAAGCAGCATCCCTTATCTCAGAACCACCGTCGTACTCCGCTATTATGGGAGAGGGGGTTGCCGTGGGCAGCGGCTGGAATCGCTCCGCAAGACGGCGAGAGTCTCCTCCGGACGATAGAAAAGAAATAAAATTCGAAAGTTCGAGTCGCGTTAACGTCCGCCGGGTTTCCCGCTATATCGAATCGTAATTAATCTATTAAATCATTCATATTGATATCATTTGCATCAACAGCGCCGCGTGATATACAGGGTGTCTCATGTAATGCCAACTCGCGCGCGCGCGTGGGTGTGTGTGTGTGTGCGCGCGAATAAAGCTCGTCAAACTGATGGAAAAATTGCCGTGCTAATTTGCAAATGAGCGGGGTAATTGTTGAGATATTACTGTCGAGGAAAATTTGTCAATGAGCGCTCGCGATAGAACGCTTAGCTTTTCTGGGGCAGCAGGGTTCCATCCAAGATGTTTATCGTTTAGCTCGATAAGCTCCAGTTTGAGTTGAACGATTCTGTACACATAGGGCATAGGAAGTGTTGCATTAGATATCTTGTATCTGTCACGTGTCATCTTTTTACCTTGGAGGAACATTACGAAATTTTTCCGACACGACTACGGCAGCCGCAGCGCACGAAGAATGCGGTCAAATTAAGTAATAAAGAAAAATTGATCAATCGCAGTTGGCCATATTCCTCGTACGGTCGAAGAACGATCGACTGTGATTGGTCGGTTTTTTCTCGCTGTTTCGGTTTTACCGCTTACGTTTTTGTGCCGTAAGCCCACGTAGCGTCGATTATCTCTTCTCTTGTACTTTATAGCCTCCTCTCGTTCCGAGTTTTCCAAGTTCACGCTGGGAGAAATCCAGAAAAAACGTGTACATAGAAGAGTAGCCAATTGCGCGCGTCGTTTCGAATTCAGTGTCACGTAACACGTTAGCGCATATTTGAGTGAAAAATCACTGTTTCAGAATAATTGCCGTCACTACGCAGCACGTACTTACAGCTGTTTCGCAAAGCATAGGCGTAATTTCGCGAACCACACCAAAGATAACGAGGATTCCGATAAGGAATTCTGAGCATTTTCCATTTTCGATATGATATACACGTGCCTTGGATAACACACACTGCATAAGTCGTTCGCATAGAAATTGCGCAGATCCATATATAATCCATATGTAATTTATTCCAACAAGAATCACGATTTAATTAGGCAATTATTGTCAATTAAATAATCGTTTAATCGCATAGTCATCAACAGTTTCTAGCAGATACGCGTAAATACGAGTGAATCGAGCTTCGACAAATTTACATGTAATTACGATGTTATTCAATTTATCAGCGCAATTGAGCCAATATATCAGAAAACATCTTGTGTCCGCTCAGGTAACGCGAGTCAGGTCTCTCGGTGTTTACAAAAATTGTGTATCCGTAACCGTGTGTGCTCAACGTTTCAAGTTCGAACACATTTCAAGTTCGAAGGACACGCGTCGGGTACATCGAGAAGACGCTGAATATCACGTTTTTCGATACTGTAATCAAACTGTTTATGGCGTTACGGACCTTGAATCATTAATTAATCATCTTACGATGCATTATTAATAGGCGTTACAACGAGATAAGGCGTTATCGGCAAATACTGAAAGTTCATGAAATTAAGGATTAAAGAGAGTCGCAAATTTTTATCAACTCATATTAACTGTGCACACATTGCGTGCCGCAGGTACGGTTTGTTATTTAAATAACTTTCTTTTTTTATTCCCCGGAAAGCCGTTACCGCACATACGCCTTATTCTTCAGATATAAGCGAGCTCAGAATTTACATAATATAAATTATCTCACGATAAATTGACGATGGACTAATATCATGATTCATATTTACGACGTTACGCGATACCACACGTGCACTTGATTGACACAATCTAGACCTAGGTTTTGACCTCAGCTCGAGCTGACTGCATTTAAATATTCGCTTTTGTTCTTTTCAAATTGCGCCTTTCTTCGCCTCTCTGCGTCGAAGTAAAGAAAGCATGCCCGTAAGAACGAAGAAAGCCATCATAAGAACAGATACCTATTAGGGAGAAATGCGAGACGGACATCGAAGTAAGAATATTTAGACGGGACATTCTGAAAGGAGAAGGTCTAATTAGCGATAGAAGCAAAATTATTTCGGATATTCCCGCCGCGGCTTCTTCGAATATATTTGAATTTAGGTCATAATAATAATGATAATTGTAAAGCAGTAGTATAAAATAGTGATAATTAAAATAGATCCGATCAGTAGTTCGAAAAATGTAGCCGGTTTTGAATTGGAATATTTTTGCTAAAGTAGATATGTTTGACTATACATATCTTTTGATTTTACGTATCGTTTGACTTTACTTATCTTGACAATCTTTCACTGCCATTTTTATGTATTTTTTTCGGTCACTTTTCAAAGCTCAAGTAATTTAACATCTTCACCTTGGGGAACTTCTAAAAGTGTAAAGAACATTATGTTTGAAGAGTAGGAGACTTGCCGATACTCGTGGCTGTTCCTTAAACTGAAAATACCAATTTGTTCAAGGACACGGAGGAAAATCGACAACGCGACAAAGCGTCTGTTAAAAATTCCGAAAAGTGATCATGAAAAGTACAGTCGGCAATGGAAATACCATCGAAACCAAAAAAGCCGAAGGATGCTTACTTTGAAAGGGAAAAGAATCCCAACTCGAAAAGTGAACTGGTTTTATTTTCAATTTTGATCCGGATATTTTTTCGATGAGTTCGCAACGCACTTCGTACCCAATAGGAAAATGTATAATTTTTTTAGATTTACCGAAAAACGATTTCTTCTATTGGACGCCGAAAACGTTACGAAACTCGTCGAAAACAAATGTTGCAACTTTCGTTGCGCCGATTGTACGGGAAAGAGGGAAAAATTCACCAGAGCGTGGAAAGTGTGTCCATATTGATATTTGCATTAAAGAAACGTCCACAGATCGCGCGATTACGTTATATCTCACTGATTTGCATTCGCACCTGTGCAAACAGCAATTTCTAAAGCCCATCATTAAAAATGGCGCACGAATTTTATACGTTATTAATATACTATTGATCTAATATTAATAACATGCAGCTTACAAAAAATGTAAGCTGCATGTCGCTCCTGATAAGATGCGAAACGATCGTCACGTGCGATTATCATCGCGCGAAAAAATGTGAACGGTTAGTTCGCACGAATCGATACGATCTGTTACGTAACAAACCAGTATACAGTATTGAATAATCACTGAGTTTATATATATACCGACGATGAGGCACATCCAGCGAACGTTTCAGTGCCAACTTTATTATTCATTCGTTAGAACAACCAATTTGCGATGTAGTGCAAATCTTCTTATAATTTGAGTTTAAAGTGGCTAAGCAACAGTTCCATTTGTTTCTATTTGTCCAATCGAACGAAATCAACGATGATACCGAATTCCAATCACGCATCTCTTCTTGATATTTTTTTTTTGCGAGTAGTCTGGTTTCGTAGAAGATAATTATTAGCTAAATCCCATTTTCGGCTGCGTTATGTTGCGGGGAATTTCTTGAGTAACGCTATAAGCATATGTTTCCTTCCATCATATGTGGATATAGAATTACGTGTGTTTGCCCTTTTTAGATCATATCCCTCGCAAGTGTGATCAATCAGCAGCAGCAGAACGTAAGGTGGAGTTCGTCCTTAAAAGTTAAAGATGAAAACTCCGTACCACATGTCTCGCCTAAAAGGGACTCTTTCAAGGTATTTTGTTTATTTCGATGCGAACACTTTCGGGCGATTCCACTTGTAATACAACGTAATCGATGACGGTGTGATTTTTACGATTTATTTTTCAGTATGCAGATTTGTCTGTGCGCTTCGCAAACCCGCACGAATTGCGCCCCAAACCTGCGACTAACCAGCTTTCATTCGGTAAACATTTCACCGATCACATGCTCAAAATACATTATTACGAAGCCTTGGGTGGCTGGCAGGCGCCAGAAATTATGCCATTCGAAAACATAGTTCTTCATCCAGCTGCAAAAGTGCTTCATTACGCAGTAGAGGTACATATATCTTTATGTTTCCAGATATTAGCCGAAAAATATCTTCCCTCATGGAATTATCGGAGTTGATTGATCGTGAATGCGTTTCCATTTTGCTTGTTGAGTACACACACATCGATAGTAACACTGTATTATGTTGGTAATGTCGTTGATATCACATATTCGGTGGTGCGATATAACGTTCCGCTGAAATGAAAGTGTCCGCTTACTTGCATATCCAAACGAAGATGATAAGCCCCCTTCTTTTATCAGATTAAATTACAATGAAGAAATCTCGATAGAATACGAAGAAATATTCTTACGAGAAATATTTGCTTATATCAAAATTATCATCCAAGCGACAATCGAATCAAGATTTCGAAGGCCTATCATCTATGATACTATGTTTGAAATGTGCATGAAAACGTGTTAGAAAAAATTGTAAGAGAGGCATACAAGAGGAGATATTAAGCTCGTGTGTATGCGCGAGCATTAATATCACGGAGGTGAAACTCTTATTATGCTTTACATACTTTTTTCTTCTATATCTCATCCTTTAAGTTTAATCCGGCATTAATGATACATGTACAAATCTCTTTCCTCAGTTGTTTGAAGGTATGAAAGCTTATAGAGGTGTTGATGGCAAAATCAGATTGTTTAGGCCAGAGCTAAATATGGAACGAATGAATAATTCAGCAGTGAGGTCCGGATTGCCTGTTTTCAGAGGGGACGAATTAATTAAGTGCCTTACCAGATTAATTAATATAGATCAAGAATGGGTGCCGCATTCCACCTCCTCTAGTCTTTATGTTCGTCCTACATACATAGGCATCGAAGTAAGTATCCGTTTTCCCATTATATTTGATCAGATGTATCTATTTGTAGCGGCTTGCTTTCGCTCGACATATATTTCATCGAGGCATGTTTTGCGGTCATATATTTTAATATTTCCACGCTATTTTTGCGTACCTTACGATATATAATTCCGTTCGGCAACGCGAACATAATGAGATACCGACCGTTTTCATGTCACTTATGTCACAGACGTCATCGTGACTGCTGTTTAGAGGAGAGAGAGAGAGAGAGAGAGAGAAGGAGCAATCGTTACATTTCTCAATGCCTAATGATAAAATTTGATAAATGGAGTTTCAATCTCTTATCGGAGCACAGCTATGTGTCACGACCACATGCAAGCGACATTTATCATGCATGTCCTTTTATAATTACGCTCGTCGGGATGTTCTGATTTATAATCTTCGGAATTCTTATAGATATGATTTTCATCTTATCTATAAACAGGTTTTTTCTCTCTCTCTCGACGTACGTATATATTTTTAGTGTAAAAACATCCGACGCTTTTTCATATCAATTTTTATCGTGACGATATGCGTATTTTCCTGCAATAAAAACGTAGGTTCTTTTCACTATTGTTAACTCCTCCTCCTCCTGAACGATGCGTCGTTATTGACGTATTGACAAATGTGACGATTCGACGTGTAAAATGTTCCTTTCGCGTGAATTCCAACGTTTCTAACGTTTTCGCTGGCGAAACGAGTGTTGCCTCAGAATATCCTTCAAGATTCCACGCCGAAAAACATCATACGCGGAGAATTTCTCTCGTTATCTACTACACATATTAATGACCTTCTTGAAGCAGTTGCGCGATACCAACGTGTCACAGCTGATGCAACAGTCCTCTTAATAACGGAGTTTCATTTATAGGTGAAAAGAAAGAGATGTATGTCCATATTAATAAACGATAAATATTCCTCCTTTTTGTGCATCAAAGATATTATTTAACGTATATTTTTGTGAGTTACATACATATTCGTTCCCCCTTCAAATTATAAAATAAACAGAATCACATACGTGTAAGTTCAATCCATTTTAGATTGTAGTATATAATCTCTTAGTGACTTCTAATTTTATTACCAGCCAACTCGATAAAATAAAAAATGCGTTTTTTCCTTCTCTTACAAACAGCCTACGCTCGGAGTTGGTGTAACAGATTCGGCTTTGCTGTATGCAATTCTGACACCTGTCGGGTCTTACTTTGCAAATTCAGGACATAACGGAGTCTCGTTACTCGCGGATCCTAAGTACATCAGAGCATGGCCCGGTGGTTGCGGCAACTCTAAACTAGGCAGTAATTACGGACCTACGATTCAGGTGCAACAGGAAGCCGCTGATAAAGGTTTACATCAAGTGCTATGGCTGTATGGAGAAGATCATCAACTCACTGAAGTTGGTACCATGAATATCTTCATGGTTTATATCAACGATGACGGAAGTAGGCGACATTTCATCTTTTTTTCGCCAATTTTTAATTAAGACTATAGAAACTTTCTGTGAGAATCCACGCGAGAATAAGACGTGAAGAATAAGAGCGATATGAAGTTATCATTATGTTTCTAATGATTTTTTCAGAAAAAGAATTAATTACGCCACCTTTGAACGGTTTAATTTTACCCGGTGTTGTACGAAACTCACTCTTGGCTATATCAAGGGAGTGGAATCAATATGATGTTTCGGAGAGAACCATCACCATGGCAGAAGTAATACAATTGCTCTCCGAAAACAGAGTAAGAGAAAAAAAGAGTTTACTCGTGCTGCTTATTTTTCCCTGCACGAGAATCTATTGTCGTAACCATAATCAATTTTTTTTGTCGCAGGTACTGGAAATGTTCGGGGCCGGTACAGCGTGTGTAGTTAGTCCTATATCATATATTCAATTTATAGACCAAGGATTGCATATACCGACACTTGAACAGCCCGAACCGATTCACGAGATGCTCAAGAAACACTTACTGGACATACAATATGGTGTTATACCGGACCACCCGTGGAGCTTAACGGTTCAGTAATAAAACAAAGTGGATAACATATTGGACTTCGATTCTCATCACATCGAACGTTATATTTATATACGTTACACAGGACCTCGATAAATTCAAGTGCTTTATAATTAGATATATAAAAAAAGTATGAATTGAGTTTTTTTCAATTAACGATTAATATGAGCTATTACAATTAAAGTTAACTTAATTGTGTGATTAACGTGACGGTTGACGGTTGTCGACGGATTCAGTACACTTAATTAACTAGCACGTTTAATTAATCGAATATCAAGGATTTTGTGGCTCAGCCGAGAGTTGTTTTTGGCTTAAAATTCGCTCATTTTAATTATCCATCAAACGATCTTTGATTTAAAAGTTTGCTGAGTTCAATCGTAAGTCGAAGCGCCTTTTATTCCCTTCACTCATATTAGTCATCATTGAACAATATTTTATTGAATTTATTCACATCACTCGTCAATTATCGTTTAATTAAAGTGGCTCATATTAATTATCAATTAAATACGATAATGAATGAATGAATTATTATTAATTATAGGTAATTAATTAGGAAAGCAATCAATTACTTGCAATCCTCTGATAAACCTAGTTTTTTTATTTGCCATGCGTCTATTGCTTTCAACTCGTATAAAAGACTTGAATTTATAAATATATTGCGACGTATATGTTTATATAAAATCTTTTTAAGAAACGAATTAAATTAATATTTATTTATATTCTCTTACGACCGCTTCTATTGAAGAACTTCTACGTGAAAAGAAAAACCTACTTGCGTATGTAAAAATTTTCTCTTGCTCAAAATATTCTCTTGTAGAAAAATGCATTATGTTATTTCCTATAAAATAGTCTCGCGTTTTATACGTAATACTTGTGATTGATACGTAACTAGCAGTAATTGTGTACGAATATCATGTACAAAATGATACATTTACGACTGTACATATCCTTAGTATAGATACGATGCGATACATTAATTGTTACTATTATCTGTAATTGCAGATTTTGTAAAGATACATTTTTTAAATAATAATTACACACATTATAGACATTTCATTGTCTGTTTCGTTAACATAAACGTCTGTCATGCAATATCCCATGATCGTGTACAAGATTATGTGATATTACAAGAGGTTATATGTTATTGATTTTATTCGACACAAAATTATCGTTAACAAACGATAAGACGTCCGGTGATTTTATAAATAATGTATTCTCGATCGGCGAGTGACTTCTTCGAAATTACGATTTGGGATCTCTTCACGTGCACGGACAAAAGTCCAGGTGTAATAATCAGTGCGTGTGGAAATCCAATCCGCGAGGCCAACAGTAAATGCAATAAAAAATCGACGAAATCGTAAAGAGGAAAGAAACTAAAGAAAATATGAGGAAAGCGTGTGGGCGGGTGCATCCGCAATAACATTATTATTCAACACGTGCGCGCCGAAATTACATACGTGTGAGTGAACTATTCGTCGAAAAGTGTTGAGTAGCAGTAAGCGATAAGGAAAGTAGCGATTTCATCCTCTGAATACGTCGCATGACCGCTGAATTCAATGGTGATATTATTGCGTTACACGCCGTTATCTCGAAGAGATTTACGCAGGTGATTGATGAGCAAGCGATTCGTTTTATCTCGTCCCCGATATCGACGTTCGATCGGCCTTTTTTATCGCTCATTGGTTAACCAAGGTGCCACGCCTAATCAAAACATTCGCACGTTCCGGAAAACGCGTGATAATTTGGGCAAGTGTACGACGCCACTCTCTTACGTCAAATACTTAATCTCGGTGGCGGATTTTACTTCGTTTTGTTCTTTTTGTATCGAGAATTTATCGCTTCGAGAGAGAAAGTTCGGCAGATATTTATACACATATCTCGAGTATTATATGCAAAAAATCTACCGCGTGTCGGATCGACATCGGAGTTTAAAATTAACGAATAACACTCCATCGTCGCGAGATTTGCATTTCGTCGAATTGTACGTTTCTTGAGAAACGTTGAGAAACATCGAGTCAGTATTACATATGCTGTAGACATTCCTCAGGGCACTCCCTAGATGGAAAATTGCACAATTTTCAGCCTCATACACAACCCGTAAGATTGAAAATCGCATAGGTAACTCTGATTACACCCATATGGCACAAATATTCAAAAAATATCAAAATGTTCAGATATTCCGGAGATATCCGAATATTTGTGCAATAGGATTATAACGGTTTTAATTATGACGGTTTTGACTTTATGTATACATGTGTAAAGCTGAAAATCATTTTTGATCTAGCGAATAGTACAATATATATAACTATATATATAACCGTGTACAATATATATAACCGACTATACGCGTTATAGTACAATGGGGCGAAGTATTGACATTGGCGCGCAGAGAGAGAGAGAAAGAGAGAGAGAGATTAGACATGTGAATATTTATTCAAATAACATGATAAGAATGTTTATTTCTTAAATACATTTATTTTTTAGACAAGAATGTATTTCATATGGTTTTCGTTATTATGTAGTGTTTGTTTAAATGTGTTTATTTGAGCGTTGTTACGTGTCGCAACGCAAGCCTTTATTTTTTCTGAAATCTTTTATCGACCTTGAACATCTTTCAATAGCTCGGACCGTATCTGTGTAAATAGCCCTTTGAACCTATTCTTTCGGGCAGAAACAAATTATTTCCTTTTAATCTATTTTTTCAAGTAAAGAAAAAAACTCTTTTTTTTACACGTAGATTACTGATTATTTAATGTTATTATGCAAAAAATACGGTCAAACGCTGATTCAAATTCATTTTATTTTCATTTCGAATTCTTTTGCCGATAAAAGTATCTCTGAAAAAAATCTAAAAAATTTGCTTAACTTGTGACTGAAATTTAAATTGATGATAATGAAATAATTGTACTTTTCTACTCATGAGATCGATCATTAGATCGATAATTTTGTAGTAGTAACTTTTAACATTTAACGACTAACCATGAATAAAAGAATACAACGTTTACGTTATCATCGAGTTAAGCTTAAACCGCAAGTTAACCATAAAACGCAAAAAAGTTACTTTGTAAGAGTTACTTTACAAGAGTATGTAAAACGGGAAAAACCGATTTTTCAACCTCGGAAAAAGACAGCCCTCAGGGCGAGCGCCCGCCGGCAAGGCGACCCGACGCAAAGGGTTCAATCTCAACCGTTGCGCGTCGAGTAGTTGAGCCCGGGGCCGTGTAGGTGGCGCCGCGAGGTCACCGATTTGCGAAAAGCACCTCGCGTTTTCCAATGAACGTTCTCCCCCTCTTTGCCGGCAGCGTCGGCAGCGTCGTATCAGTCGCGCGCTTTTAGTATCCTTACGAAGGTCTCGGGTGTTGTGCGTTCTGTACCCTTCGAAAGGTTCGTCGGTTGCAACGTCGGAAAGCGAGCCCAGAGATCGTATCATCGGGGCATCCTCTCGCGACAGGACATCGGCGGTGTCCGGTTGGCTGCTTTTATGATCTCGTAGCGCGGTCGCGGTGCGCGGTTGTGCGAATCACGGCGTGAGCAACACCGAGAGAAGCAACAGAGCGGCGTCCGTCGACGCGCGTCTTCGAAGGGGTGAGTTCGTCGCACCTTCTGTCACCTTTCGTAATTCGCGAATTCGTGCGGCGGCAGACGGGCTACGCGAGAGAGAGGGAGAGACGGTGGAGGAAAGCCGCGTACCGGCTCGGATTTCGGCGTCGCGAGAGATAACATCTCGGATCGATCAATGAATCGCGTCAATTAACGTCACGCGCTTTATTTTGAATTCCGCTATTCGACGCGATCGATCATGGCGTCCTGTGCGATTGGGAGAAAAAGAGAGGGAGAGAGACAGATGCGACTTTTCGTATTCCACAGATTTCGGGCCTGCGTTCGTGCGTCCGTTGCGTCGCGTTTCGCGCCGACGAAGGAGGGAAGCGCTTTTCGGGGAAACGAGGGTCGCCGGGAGAGACGTTATTGTGTCGCGTGAGAAATTGCGCGGATGGCGGCGGCGGCGTCTCTTCTTCCTTCTCTTCCTCCTCCTCTTCTTTCGCCGTCCACATCGCCGAGCGGCACGTTCGGACTCGAATATTTTGTTTTGCGAGATCGAATCCACGTGATGCCGGCGACGCTATTACGAGACGCGGATGTAAACTCCGGATTTCCGTAAAATCTCTCCAAGCAGACCATTGACGGAGATTTTCTTTTACGCGCACGATTTTAACCAAGCTTCTCGATTCGTGTCTGTGGAAAGAACCACCTGGTTTCAGCGCTGATGGAAACACGAAAGATACTCCTTTCAGTTCGGAACAATGTGCAGCTGGCGAAATTGGTCGTTTTTGCCTCGGTTTTACTCGCGACTCGTAATAGCACTTCCGGTATAACGTTGCAGCGTCCTGAACACGTTGCTGCGCGAAACGGAGCACCTCTCGCGAAGGAAACGCGCGGAGAAAGTTTCCGTATTTTTATCAGCACGCTACGTCTAACTCTAATTGATTTACCGTTGAGACTTTGTCGGAAGTGCAGGGTGTGCGGGTGTGTGTGAAACGATTATCTATTTTTCGCATCGCGTTTCTTCGATACGTCGGAACTCCGGCTATCGGAAACACAAAGGAGTTTCTCGTGGCGAAATCAAAATCATAGAATCTAATGAAAGGACGATTCCGAGCGACGTGCGTACACAGAAAGAAAAAGTGCTAAATTTAAATAAATCGTTAGTTATATTCTAATATAGCTATGTAGCTAATACTCTTTTTAGCAAAGTTTTACTTGGATTACGTAAATTTGGATGAAGTAAGTATTTTACTTAAATAATTTACTTGGAAAAATATTTTAGTAAATGTTACTTGACCCAAATATAAATTTGCTAAGGAATATCGGAGTAATTATTTACTTGAATCTAGCACATTTTTTTCTATGTAGGAACGGAAAAACAAGATCAATGTTGTAAATCGGTTAAGAGTTAAAGGTTAAAGGGAACTTAAAGTTCGGTATTTACGGAATATCGTGATACAGCAAACACGTAGTATCTATACATTTTTTTCCTCAATATTCTTCCTCAATATTCGGCAGTCAGAGGCGCGTAGGTAATAAGCGCGGCCAACACGCTTGCTTTCATCTGCCATTCAGGCAAGAGAATTTGATCTACAAAAAAGTAGCCTTCCGTTCACTGTAGACGGAGGACGACGATCCTGTGAGAGGATTCCCACCACGTTTTAGCGACGTAGTTGCACATAGAGCGGCTTGAGCTAATATCGATAATTTTTTCTCACATAGTGGCATATGCATTTTATCATCACGATAATCGATATTGTACGCAAAAAGTAACGACGCTTCGCTTAATCCGAATTTAAGCTCTCTTCAAAGACTCACATCTACGTTCAGATTTAATTGACGTTGGTAGAAACGGGTATTACGAATCGTTTTAAAAAATCGCTTAAAACGTCGCCTTTATAATTCGCTTCTGTTAATTATTATTACTAATTAATAACTTATCAACGTATTTTAAATTTTTAATCCCCTTATTTCCCCCTCAATGGATTAAATCATGTTATTTGATTGAAAAAAAAAACACTGTTGTTTCATACGTATCTTTTTCCAGTATATTCTATTGTTTAGACTAACTCATATCGTGTTAAAAATCTTAAAGCAACCATGGCATTCCTGGCTCGCCGTATAAATATACATTCTATCAATTTACATATCGACTGTTTGTTGCAATGTTTTTCATCAAACGATAGAATTACTCGAAAAGCCAAACAATAGCGTTTGACGTATTAAATTCAAAGAAATCATCGTCTCTCTGTGTGTATTTAGCTCGAAATTGACACGACGATTGACTCGAGAATTAGAAAAGGGAACGACGAATTATTCCGAAGCGCCTTAATACGATATTCATCGCGTACAATTGCGCGCAATAAACAGCAAGTTAAATAGAATTGTTCGTGCATTGCAGCGAGTCGCACTCGGTTCGGCGTCGGTTCAACGTCGCGGTCGAGCGTCGTGACGACGGTCAGACGTAAACCGATCGATCGCGCGGCACCGGTCTTCGAACTTGCTAGATAGCAGTTGGCTAGATAGTCGGTGCATGTATTCAGTGGTGTACGCATCCCCTACTTTCTCTGTTCCACACGATACTGTGTCTGCCCGCCGCGAATTCGCATAATTCCGTTTATAAACCGAAACCTGTTGCTTATTATGCAAATACAATGCTGCGTCAGTGCGAATTTTCACCATTATCGGACATTTTATTTACATTATACATGTGTCGCCACGCCTCTTCAATCGTTAATTTCTCATTGTAAAATTTATTCGTGAGCCGGGAATGGATATATATGGAGAAAGGTTATATTTTGCATGAATCTCGTCTGGCTCAGCTGTCTCGCTTTAATCACGTTTGCGAGCGGCTCCCTTTTCGTAAATTTAATCGCGCACTCCTGATCACGAGGACAGAGCGGCTCAACCGGCCAACCGGCGGTAAATCAAATTAAATTTGGTTGATCGGGGTAGCACGCTAAATCATTTAAGCGAGCATATAGTAATACGAGCATGCCCGGCGGAGAGAAAGAGGGAGAGGGACGTCGGCATGGCGACGTTTCGTGGATCGTTTGATGCACACGTTCTACCATAAATCTTCATGATGCATTATTCACCATAGGCGGCTGCTCGCCGATCGAAACGTAATTATTGAAAGCTTGCGATGCGGCCGGAGATATCGGATTAATTCGTCAAACGTAGAAAATCAATCTCGAGTATCGCGGAAATTGGCAATCGCGGGTTGGAAGAGAGTCTCTCTTTGTATTATAAGACTAGCAACTTATAATTAGGAATGTTGCGATACCACGAAAGTGTCGATAGTAATGTTGAAACGGGTGTCTGATCAAGAATGTCATTAGCGACACCAGTATTGGAACAAAAATATCGAAAGTGGTATCGGAATTTAGGACAACTTAAAATTAGAAGTAATATAAAGGTCAGGGAAGTGTTTCTACGGCAAATATACGTAATATCTCGAAGATTGGCTGAGCAAGAAATAAAAAAGAAAAATATCGAAAAGATGTCGGAAATGAAGTAGTACTGACACGGGTAAGGAAATATTGGTACAAAAATACGCGGTATTGGAGGAAAAATACCGACACCGGTATTATATCAGTGGTGTCACAACACTTCCCTACTTATAATTGACAGTTAAAAGGGTTCCAACGTAAAAAGTAGTGTACGGAGTTTGATGTCTTCGCAGTCCTTAATACGATACGAGGATCGGCGAAGCGAAGACTATGCATTTCGAGAGGCAGGTTTCACTTCTGCGTTACATCACGTTTCAGCACTAAATTCCCCCGCGTGTGTTCGTAGCATTTTACAGCGTCGTGTTTCAAGGCGAGACAGAGAGATATCGATTCGCCGTATAAGTAAAAAAAATATCAGAGTAAACAAGTTCGTCGATGGAGCTCGCGGTGGAGTTGCTCCGCGCATCGTGCAATCGAGGGGCGATCCTTGACAAAGCGCGGGACGAATTATGGACGATCGTGAACTCGACCGGGATTTTCGCTGGTATTATCTGCCCGAAATTTCACTGTTTTTTTTTTCTTTTTTTTAACCGGACCGGACGCGCGATTTCAACAATTTGACGCCCGACATCGCGAGATCCGCGGAGATTCGCGCGGCGAAAGCTCGGGATAGCGAAGAGGAGAGATTATCGTGCCATCGTCGCGCGTACCAAGTGCCAACTGTCGAACAACGAAATGAACGTTGATTGCTATACAGCGTATCCCAGACGCGTTCCAACGGTGTAATCTTCCAGTTGAACTTGAGGGCGATTTTCTCTCGGCGAAAATCCGACGTTCGCCGCGATCTGTTTGACGTTAAACAAACGTCTCGTTCCCGACGTCAGGTAAAACCGTTTAATCTTCACCGTCAAACATACGTTGGATTCTCGCTGACGCGTCTCGCGCTTCTCGCCGCAAGTGTGTCAAGCCGACGCGAACGCACGCGCGTAGAGCGCGTCCGCGCGAAACCACGAGCGGATTAACGAGCTTTCTCCGCTCTCGATTTCAGGTGCAAAGGAGAATGAGTCAAGCGGACCAGGACAAAAGCATGGACAAGAAGGAGATCGCCGAGGAGGAGAGGGAAAAGATGCTGAACGCCGAGAACACGAAGCACACCGGTGCCGCACCTGCGCCCGATCTCGAGTCCGAGGAGCAGAAGCCCAAGAAGAAGATACCGATCGGCGGCATCAAGATGCCCGGATTCTGCCGCACCAAGAGCAAAGAGCCGTGCAAGGTACGTGTGGTATCTCTCCTGTATACTTCGCTCTCTCGCGTGCGCTCGTACTTCACGGGGGGACGGGAGGGATCTACAAACGAGACAATACGGCGCGGCCGCATCGATCGTCCGGTATATCCCCTCGTAACTTTCTGCCATTTTGTCTCGTAGGATTCACGGGTCGCGCTTGTCTAGTTTTTACGCGCGCCATCAGACATCTCGAGCGCGAAATGTGTTTGCGAATAATTGCTGTTGTCGCGGCATTTCGCCGGCTGTGATCGCGAATAAAATCGTTAAAATGTCAGGCGACGATACGCACGGATATTCGAGTTGAATTCGCGACGCGAAACGGTCGGAAGCAACGTTGCGAGAAATGTTAAAGCGGCCCCGACGAGATACATCGCCCGGGTAAATTATCGGGCAAAATTTAACTGAGAACTCACGAGCGTATCTGCAAGAGATCGCCGCTGTTCCTCATTTAATTGCACTTGACTAATCGATTCGCGACGAGAGAGGAGTCGGACTCGACTGAGCGGAACGCCCGTTTATTCCCTTCCACCTTTCTCTCTCCTTCTCTCCCTCCGTTTCTCATTATTGTAGTGTGCGATGCGTCTAATCAATGCCAGGTGCAATGCTTGACGTCATGCCGCTTAACGATAGGAAAAAAAAAATCGTTACGGGCAGTACCCTTCGGTGACGCGCACTATGGGGGCTTTACTTATCGTTTTGCGAAGCGAATTACCTCATCATCGCGAACGAGCTTCCATGACGACGTTGCGAAAAAAAAAAAAAAGAAACAAAAGGACGACGGTCGGCGTCGTCACACGGAGCGGATGTGTCGTCTCTTTGCATAAACGAGGTGTGAATACTTTCAAGTTAGATTTTTTTATTTCGCTATCTCGCCCTAGTCGGTGCTTTGTACGAGCATAATTAGTCCGCGGCCTCCTCTTCCGCCGCTCTGTATATTCAAAGGATACCATACTTGAAAATATTTCCGAAATACTCCTTTTGGAAATGTCAAAATTAACGTCTCCAGCTGGCAGTTAGCCATTTTGATGATATCGCCTCTACTTTATCGATGTTTATGAAGTTCATCGTCGATTTCGATGTCCCTTTAAAATTGCGCGATGTTCCAAATAAGCAGTGACGCGGAATATCGTATCGGCTTATTGTTTGTGGATTTTAATAGAATTAAAGGGAAGCTCCGATTGCGGCAATCCGGCGGAGTAAACGAACGCAACGCGTAACAGCACACGGGATATATCGTGATGGTACACGGCTCCTCTTCCGCCGGCATAAAACGAGAAATCTCCTCACCGTAAAGCCCGCTCGGCCGTGTAGGCGTGCGAGTTTGTATTGCTTAGCTTCAACGCACCCCCGTGTTTGCCTTCCCCGTCTCTTTATTTTCACTGTCAGCATACCGTTGCCGTAAAACTGTCCCGTATGTAGACTGCGCAGCCTACATGCAACAACGTCTCGTCGACGCCGAGGGCAAGTGTTTACGGCCATACGTGAACAATAATAATAAATACGATAGGTTAAACACGTTTACCGTTTAAACACATTTACACTGTAATATTTGGCGCAAATGCGCAATGTGTTTGAATTAGTTTCGGTGTTGATAACACACGTCGACGAGCGCCGTCTCGTTGACAGCCAAGAGCCGATCGATTGTAAACTTCGTCGAAGCACGTCTTCCCACGTGACAAGTTGATGACAACCGAACAGAAAATGTGCCGGAGATTCATTGAGTCGCGCGACGATAATGTCTGCATCGTCGGGAGCAATTTGAGTCGACGACGCATTTTCATCGTATCTTTTCTCTTTTTCTCTATTTTCCCCGCTGTCATTTTGCTTCTCGTCCCGGCGGCTTGCTTCGTCTCTCAACCAGCGACGACGTCGGCTGAAGAAAATCCGACGCGACGACGCGACAACGTGCCGTCGCATCTGGCCGGTTCTCCTCCCTAATCGATTTAATTCGCCTTATTAATCGTTTAATTGGGAAAGAAAATGGCAGCCGTCACCTTGCTCTAAGAAGCATTTTTCCTTTATTTTTCGGTCTACCGTCTTCTTCTGTCCCGTTCATCTAACACGTTGTGTCTTTCTTTTTTCTTCTTCTTTTTCTTCGAGAGAGATTCTATTGTCGTGAAATATTATTTACAGCACTTAGGTGTACTCCAACTAAGACGTCGTTTTTCATGATTGATGAATTTCCCGGTATTTTCCATACCAAAAATGTAGCAAGATAATCGATCAACGAGAAAGAGATAATGGCATCGCTGGTTAGCAGGTGACACTCGAGAATTGCCTTTCGTGCCTGTCTCGGGCGTTATTGTGTCGGCTCGCGCGATTCTTCTCGCGCGAGTTTTCCGAGATTGCGATGTCCGGGTGTCCCAGTTCATTTGTTAACACGCCGACTGCCGCATTGATTTCCAACGATATTGCACGGCCAGTCACAAAAAGGTTGGGACACTTTTCTCCGATGAATTTCACAACTCCAGTATCCAGTAGAGAAATGTCTCTCTTGAGAATTACTAAAAAAAGCAAATTCCCCCATCGAACACGAAATGCGTTCTGGAACTTGTTAAAAAAAAAAAGTGTTGCAACCTTTTCGCGACCGGGACCACACAAGAACTCGACTGAATTACCGAAGACACGGTGAATCGAGTGTAACTCGAAACACCACGTAACTGTTTCCTCGTTTTATCCGATTTTACCGTGCAATCGATTTTTCTCAATGCAGTCAATCACTTCACGTAATTTAATAAGACACGCCAGTGGTATCGCAGTGTCGGCCACCGGTGACCACCGTCACGGCATTCGACGCATGTGTCAACTTCTTCCTCGGGGTCTGAGCGCGAAAGTGACAGCCAAGTTAATCAAGAGAGAGAGAGAGAGAGAGAGAGTCAATTCAACGTCGTTCAACGTGGTCAGCTGTCGAACGGAGATATCGCCTTCCCGTCGTGTCGTCACCGTCGCATTTCTCGTGCTTCCACGTGTATTCTAAATATCACGATCGCGCGGATGAACGAAGGCAGGGACGATTTATATCGCATGCTCTCCCGGTCTCGCGTAAAACATTTGTCTCGTGAAAGGAAAACAAACGCGGAACACTCCGAGGGCGAGGGAGAAAAGCGACACGGCTCGTCGGGACTTACGTCCGAAAGCGCGGGGAAAAATCACCTTTTCTCGCGAGCGGCGGAGCGAATCTTCAGCGCTGTCGTATTATTTACTCGCCGTTGCATTCCGAAGAAGTCGCTTCTGCGGCTGCCTGAGCCCGCGACGCATCAATTACACGCAACTTCAGGTATTCACCGGCGTACACCGGCAAAACATTAATTTCCACGTACCGGTACGGGAAGTGTGGCCGCAACTTCGCTTCCACGTCCGATTATCATCTCCCAAGACCGAATTACCTGTCAACCGCGGCTCAAATAGAGAAAGGAGGAGGAGGAGGAGGAGGTAATCGCGTCTTCAGCGTCGGTGTCTCGCTACAACCGGTCCCGACACATCAATTACACGGCGCTTGCCCTCCTATTGATAGCGCTGTAAAGACGCACGTGATACGGCGTCCGGTCGCATTCGACTCGGCTTTCCTCCCCGAGTACGATTAATTCGAGCCTCGCGTCGAGATGAATGCCGTCACACACGCGGAAGACGATTCGTCGCCTCGGATCGTCACATTCCCGACTAAACAGTGACTGTTTCAGCTCGCGCGCGTACGCGGAGTCATTACCGAGAAAGCAACGCTTTGCTTCGTAATGCAAATGACTCTCCACGGCGCGCGCGGTGAAATCGTCGAGAGCTTATACTCCAGGGAGAATACCGGGCGATAGGGCCTCGGGGCGCACGAGGCGAAGTGTGCCGATAGAGTACGCGCGCGGAGAAGATTCTGCCAGGGAAAATATTATTCTTGATTCCTCGTGATTCTTATCCCGACCTCCTTTCGCCCCTCCTCCCTTTCTTTTTTCTTAACGAGCGCCCGTAAATCGCGGACGAAACCGACGGGTGGCTTGCCCTGTGTAAACGCGGCCGGCGAGCCAATTGGTGCCGCACTTGTGGACACAGCTTTAAACCATAAAGTCTCCTCCCCCGACCGGTGAATGCGAAACGCCGTATAAAAGAAAGAAGGAAGCGCTTCGTTGCTCGAATTGATACACCCGGCACGTGTAGGGACCGTGGCTGCCGGGGGTTTCGTGTAGGTGGGCCGTTTCGGATTGAGAAAAATCGTCGGTTTATTTATTACGTTACTTTTTTCCCTTTGCCTCGTGTCGAGCGCGCCGCTATTCTCTCTCTCTCTCTCTCTGTCTCGTCGTGAAATTCAATTCGAAACTCCCTTGGAGTTCTGAAATTTAAATGTTTCATCCTCGCGTGTTCAGCGCAACCGTCTGCGGTTGAAAAATGAATGTATCCATAACCTCACGTTTTTCGAATTTATACGATTGAAACTCAGATTTACACGAGATCGGCAGATCCGTTTTTAACAGGGTGTCCGCCTGTTGCCTAGAGAAATCTGGGAAATCTGGAATTTTCCGGGAATTTGTTTATACTTGGAAAAATCAGGGAATTTTATAGACTTCATGTTTAAATTAAAAATATATTAAAATATGGACGGTATTCCACGAGAAAGAAAGAGAGAGAGAGAAAGCACGTGGTTTCTTCAATCGATATACCCCGGCAGTTGCGACTGACCTTATTTCCTAACTATCAGAGAAGCCTTTAAACAAGGGATCGCAGGAAGCCGTTATTACGCACCTTTGGTGGCGCCTCTCGGTGGAAGTCCAAATTCGAAGGTGATATTGCCACGGCTGTTCGACTACGACCGACCAGGTGTGTTCCCACGGTCGCGACAATGTCCTACGTGGGTTTCGATCGCAATCGAGGGCCGCAGAACGATCAAATTATCCGGTCGCGTGACAATCCCGAGAAAAAGGTAACGAAAAGTATAGGATTAGGAAACCCGAAGCGTGGTGTTTCGCGTAATTGCTTTACCGACAACAACGTTCGAACTTGGGTCT